GAAGAAGAAGAAGAATTATTAGTAGCAGTAGTTCACAATTCACACACTACATTTGCAGACTAGGATTGCTCCCTTTATCAGCCCTTTTCTTTGTAAACTCAGTTTGCCCAAGACTGACTTACACAATGCAAGAAACAGAAAGTTTCATGACCATCACAGATACATTTTTGAGGCAAATAAATAGATGACATAGCTTGGTGAATTGTGCCCTCTAGTGGAGGAAGATATGATGATATACCAACCTGTTTCTTATTCCTTTGTGGACCAGAATTGATCCTCTGGGCCCTGGAACTGACACTGCAGTTGGTTTTGGCCTTTACTATAGAGAAGAACAAATAGGCAGATATATAGCAACTGATGAAATAAACTACCTCTGATGATGATCCAGAGGAGGATAACGATCAACATGCATATATAATGATCATGGACAATTATTACAGTCACAGTAAATTGGTTTTGAGTAACTGTCCAAATACCACAGACACAGATACAGGTACAATAAGAGAAGTGGATAAAACAATACTCCTAGTTAGAGTCTCAAAGGGAAATTAACTGACTATTGAGTTGTGGAAGATGCATGTAAACAGAACAACCCATATGAGACCTTAAACTGGCATATGGCAGTTTGAATATTTCTGGCATTTGTGGCACAAACTCAAGAGCAGCAAATAAGCATTGAATAAAATAACTGCACTGACCCACAAAGAAGAGGGAGAGTTAGAAATTGTGAGGCGCTGCGGCGGGGTTTTCTGAGGAACTTTCTTTAACACAGAGCCTAATTAATGTAATAAAATCACTGTCATGCTATACAGGAACTACAGTTAAACAGACAAGCTTATTTTTCTTTCAGGATTTCACAAATGACATCAAAAGTACAGTGTAACCAATTTAAAGTCTATTACATAATATTCTATTAACCAAAAACTTTGAACCACAGCATAGCAGTGACCTGTCCTTCCAAAAATGTAATCTTCTACAGAGCACCAGGCATCAGTGTAAATATAACTTTAGCCCGCATAAGGGATTCTCAGCACTCCATCATCATTTATCAGTCTAGCCATGAGATGAAAAATGATCACTGTGTTCCAGCTGGTATTGTATTACAATGGACAGCACTATCTGGTTTGGGTAGCATTCCAGACATTGTGTGTGACATTGCCAAAGATGGTCACTATGATGCTCCAAATAAATGACGAACATGTTCCACTGGCCCAAAGATACGGGAAATACACCTGAAGTAAACATCATCAGCAACACCTACCACAGCACAAAGAAGACATCAAAAATAGACAATCAAAATGCCATAATCCATTTGCTCTTTTGATGTTAATATATCAGTGATGTCTAATCTGCCAGAAAGCAGAATAATAAAATATATTAGCAGGCACAGAAAGTTTGCTTTGCATGCAGCTACCAACCTTCCTCCTCTTTGTTCTCTAGAGGTACACTCCAGGCAATGAGGTTTCGAGCAGCACGGCCCTCTTCAGCAACTATCTTCCTCACTTTGTCATGGCTGTTGGAGCGCTGAAAAGAGGCCTGCAGAAGAAAGAGATCCAACACTGCAATTTTGAACTTGTTTATCCAAGAGCAAAAGAAAAATGAGGTAGAGCAGTAAGACATGACGTATATGACAAACAGATGTGGGATTCATAAGGCGACTTTTAAATACGATGTCATGATATGCTGCCAAAGACAACCCTAGTATCACATGAGGAAACATGTTTTGCAAGAAATAACGGAATAATGGACACAACGCTGAGGGGCATTTTATCCAGAAAATGTATTTTTATGTTGCGACACTGTACTACGTTTCATGTGACACCATGAAATGCAACATGGCATCATTCCATGTCACACCAAATGAAAGAAAGTTTTTTTTTTTTTATGACAGATTTTTAAACTTGGTTTGTAGTCGGTTTAAAGATAAGTCTGGTCATACTCTATATTTTTCTTGTTGTTAACAAATCCCATGAAAAGACTGACATTGCCTTGTGGCGGTACTGAATACTGAATGAATGGGGGTGGGGGAGGGGGCTGCTACAGCCCAACAAAACTGATGTAATGTAACTTATTCCTGTGCCATGGAGATCCATCATTGTCAACAAACTATTATGAGCAACATTGAGTTGAATTGGGTGTCCCCTCATTACAAAGCTGGCCACTGTAGTATTTTGAGGCAATCCTACTTACACTTTTTGAGGTAAATATTCAATATTTTACCAAATCTGCATCCTAAAAATAGCCCCAAACTGTTCGAGTAATGTCTCCTAAAGACTACAGTAGCCAAGCATATTATGACTTTCAACAAAAAAAATAAAACTATGTATTTATGACCCGTTTTAAAGATTTATGTCATCAGCATTATTGAATGGGCTTGGGGCAATTAAGAGATTTGTTGGCAGTAACAAAAATAATGACTATTGCTGCCTTATTCTTAAAACCAAACAGTTTTACTGGCGAGCTAACCACTAACACAGCCTGAAGGATGAGTACTGTTGCCATGGTTTCCTCAGTTTTACTGTACACCTTTTGCACAGTGGTCTAAGTATTGTGTCAACAAGCACAAGTGTGTTATCATAGCACTATAAATAGCTAAATATTTTTAAATGAAATAAATAAAATTGTTTTCTGTATTTATTTAATCTGTTATGTGTTTTAAATAGTGCTTGTGATCGCCTTATGATTCCTGATTGGTGTGGGAATGATCATTTTTGCATCACAAATTAAATTTTCACCGAAAAATGTTTTTAAATCCAGATGATGTGACATTTTTTGGGGTCTGTACATGTTTTCTTAAATCTGGAGAACAACATTTGTAGGCCAGATCATCTCTGGAGCCCTACAGTACTTCATTATAATGCTGTTTTGTCACACATTTTATGGAATAATGTGCAATTTGTTGTGCAGCACTAGCTATAAAAGGTAAGTGACATCAAACAAACAGAAGGCATATACTCCAGACACATCACTTAAATCTAAAAGAGACATAAATAACACAGAATTGTTAAATGTTTGGTGTAAAGGTAATATACATCTATCTGGTGCCCACACAAACCTTTTCAATATGGGTTTTTTATTAAAAATGACTATATTAAACCCCTAATCCTTCCATTAAATGAAAAATTGCAATACTCAGTACCACAAGAGAGTGTATTGTAATATGCTGTTTCAGTTAGTTGTCCCATCTCTGGTGTGTCATTGTGAGCCACAATATAGCAAGTATTAAGTTTAGAGGTCTACTGGCACAGACTGTGACAAGAAACAGCTCGAGGCAGTAGCTTTAATCCCGCTTCGTGCCCAGCATGCATCATGGTTGACCTACACATTGAATATGCATCAGTGAACTTGACTGCAACCTCGAGTGAAGCAGATACTGTGAACCAAAATATTGCCTACCTATGGGATTGCCCTGTGATGAAACACGCCATCAACAAGAGACAAACATTCTATCGCACAACAATTTGGGCAAACAGCTCATGCATAAATGCATAGACTCAATTTGCTTAAAACCGTACGAGCAATAACATCTACAGCTCCTTTTTGCATTACAACAAAGACGAAAATACACAGTGTACCCGCCGATCTATTTGATACTATTTAGCTCTGCAATCTTACATCACTAAATATTCTGACTTCTGGCAATCTGATTACAAAACAAGGCAGAAGCTAATACCTAGAGGCTTATCATTCTGGATCTTCTACTCGCTGTGTTCCCTCTCCCAGCAGAATAGCCTGTACCACTTCTGCACTGCCCATAAATGATTTAATCTACTGTTGACTAAAATCCAAAGCAAACTTGGTTGTACAACTATAAGACTCAAAATATATTGTTACCTGAAACCAAGACAAAAATCGTGAGCCAGTTCTCTCTCTTAATAGCAAATGAGTCATGGAACAAACCGTTCTCCCTTTTCCTGGCTGTCTCTCACTAACACCACTATTCAGACAAGAGAGCCACAGCAAAATTAGTCCAAATGAGGAATACCCAAGGCTTTAAGAAAACAAGTGATAATTAGGCCAAGGTTTATGCAAAAACAACATGTAACAATGTTTTCAGACCATCCTTCAAGGCTAGTAGAATAATGTGAACATGACTCATTAGGAGTTACACATGCAGAAACAGCATGCGTGTGTATTGCTCTGATACTATTTAATGTCCCTAAGGGAGATACCCAGCTGACCTACTTTTGGTGAGCAAAATTCTTTACATGTCGAGTGGCCTGGGCTTTATTCGGGCAAGTAGGAAAAGACTACAAAGAGATAAAAGAACATCAAACAACAAAAAGGCCCCCGCTAAAATGAGCAAGAACTAGTGAGGTGGGTCAGCATCAATGCCCCGTCTCCCATTTACAAACTGTAAATATTTACTCTGCATTTCCTGGGCTTCGCAGCCATTGGATGACAGACGAATGTTGTGAGAATACCTTACCTACACACAACTGATGGCTAACTGTGCGCAGCAGACTGAGAGCAGAGGCAAAAACAGCAATATTCTCTTGATCCACTTAATCAGCTGCAAACAAACTGTCTCCTGGGCCTGCACTGTAGAAACAGAAGATACATCGTGGAGCATGACTTAACTTAACTATATTNNACCACCATGCACCAGAGAGAGCGCTTACTTTCTAGACTGTGCTGAGTAAGGGGCAAGTGTAAGGTTTCTCTTTCGGCAGGGTCTACAAACAGATGCAAGTAACGAGACAGTGGGTGAGACCTAGCTCATGAGGAGAGACAAAGAGAAAAAGCAAAAGATTAGAGGATACATACAGAGTAGAAGTACAGTCTGTAAGCAGGCTCCTCGTCCTTATCCACCCCTGACATACTTTTGCAGCCCACTTCAGGCAACCTGTTCCCCCTCACCAGCCCTGCCACTTGTGCAAGGTGACATCGTCATCTGACGGCAGGACCAAAATAGACTCCTACTGTGTAGTCCACACTGCTATAGCAACTTGCCCCAGCTGTGTCAACTCCTCTCCCAGTGGCGATCGAGAGAGACAAGTGCTCAGTAGCCCGTCAGCCCTGCCTTTCACTTTGACTATTCTGTCTGTAATCTAGCCTGAGCTCTCGGTGCTCTGCTGAGTTAGCAGCCACTTCTTAGGCCCGACTCACTGCCTGCTGCTGTCTGTCTGCCTGCCACTCTCCACTGCATGCAGCTTCCTATATTTACAGCTTCTCTCCTTGGCTTTCCCTGCTCTGCATCAGAGCCCCCTCTCTCTCTCCCTCTCTCCGTTTCTCATCTCTCACTCTCCTTCTGCCACAACACTGCGCAGTCATGTGCACACAGCAGGCCTGCCGCTCTGCCCCCATCCTGCGTTGCCAGTGATGAGAGTATAGCTGCAGGCTCAGAGACAGTGTGTGCTAATGCAAGCCTGGCCGTGCATTAGCCACACTGGGTGATGCTCTGAGTCTGGATCTGATTGGACTCGGCACTCTGTGATTCATAGGCTGCTGGGGGGCGAAACACACAAGCCCACATGGTTTGATTGCCTACAAAATGGTCCAAACTCACAAAGGCTGCTGCAAGAAGAAGTTGGGACAAACAGGGAGGGCAGGATACCGTGCTATCTGATACAGAGTAACCCTAACTACTCCTGTGTTAACCTACACAGCACTCCTCTTGGTGTCACTCATTCTTGCTAAAATGACCACTCACACATATGCACAACAAATCTCATGATGCATCAGCATCCTCTGAGAAATCTCACCATTTATCAACCCTTTTGGTCAAATGCACGAGTGGGTGTGTGCAGCAAAAGGTTCTGGTGGAGGGGGAATCATTTCAGGGACTGAGGACATCACCAGAGCTGGCAACATCATACTTACGGCAGGTGAGGTCACCCAGAAATGCTGCTTTCCTGATGGACCTGTTATCCAAGTGAACCCATTTAGTCATTTGGCTCCAGCTAGCTGGGTGTGCATCGGAATTTTAATGTTCTTGGCTAAATTACCTGCTGTGTTTCAGTAATTAGCAACGGGCTAATAAGTCATCACGTACCTTCAAAGCGGTTATGGATGCATTCTTGTTTTTGCCTCCTCCATGAGAGGAGCCTGAGCTGTTGCTACCAGACCTTTCCCTCCCGTCCCCACCTTGGCTAACTCTGGGGCCGAGGCGGTGCTGCCCAGCGCCACGCCGTCGTCCATCATGGCGGTTGTCTTTGGACATCGACCCCGCGGTAAGTTCAATGCTCAGTCGGTAAGAAGTATGGACAGCGTTGTCTTGTTATCACAGTTGATGGAAAAACATGTCAGATAAATACATGACAGTGAAGACAACCTAACAAAAGCAGGAAGTCGTGTTGAGTTTGGATTTCTTTCGACTGGCAATGGGATTGTCCAATGAATTCACTGTAACATGGAAACAACATGTGCGCCAGCCAATCGCGTACAGTTTAGTGTGGGTCAAGGGGCGGAGCGTATTTGAATTGGGCGGGACTTCAAACAGTCTACCATAGCAACCACGCAGTTGGGCGGGACGTTTGGTTGAGTCCTCAGTTTGTGTCAAGTGATCTACAGACAACAGGAAGACCGGAGGAGACGTGAACCTGCCTTCAAAATAAAAGCATCTGGGAGAAGACCTTTCGCCCTTGAAACTAAGAAAATCAAGACACTAAGGATGGAAATATTGCCACCAATTGAATAGAGTAGAACAGTGGTTGTCAACCTTTTTCCTTGCTATCATTTAGTAAACTTAAGTGACTGGTGTCAGTGGAACCGCCTACCGCCTCCAAAGATCCAGAGCTGGTGAGGGAGGTTCCAACAGCCGCAAGTCCACGCCCCCAACCGGCACACCGGTGGACATCTGGTATGGACAATAGAGAAAGAGTGGACTCTTATAAGTACCTGGATTTCACGCTGAACAGATTAAAAAATAACCCCTTGGGGGAAAAAAAAAAAAATTTGGACCCATGAACACCCTGGGCGCGGCAACGTTTATAAAAAAGGCCGAGACCGCAGAACTCTATCTGCTCCCCGGAAACTCCAGGGCCTTTGGAGTGCAGGGAACGCTTCCTGAGGAGCCTCTTTGAACAACCTGTTGTGGCAATCAAGCCATGTGTCCCCTTTGGAGTGGTCTGCTGAGCAGCCAGCATCTCGGCAGCCGACAGGAAGAAAAGATTCCTGAAACAACGATCAAAGAAGGCCTGGGTGCCCCTTGCCGAACTCCAGTGCAGGTGGTGGGAGAGAGGAAGGATGAATAGCTGATAAATCATCCAAGCCTGATGGCACAATGTCTCCGCCACACCCATGGCAGGACACCCATAACTGCACTGAGGGCAGCTCCTTCAGATTGACAGAACTGCAAATTCAACCCCAAATGTTGAAAGGAGAGATATGGTAGGTCCTTCCTTCCCTGCTGTCTGCAGACTGATTACCCAAACCAGCACTTGCCCCCCCCCCCCGGCATCATAATCAATAATAATAATTTTGTCAATACAATGTGCAAAATCAATGAACAATATTCACTGTGCCAAGTATATTTTGCCCATGTGCAACTGCCTGCTAGTAAATTCTGTGTTTATGCTGTTGGTGTGGGTTTTTACTGTTTTTTCTCCCTTGTACAGTGTTTATATTATATTATATTATATTATTTTTTCATACTCTTACTGTTTTTATACTGTCTTTATACTGTTCTTTACACCCCTTAAAATCAGGAAGGCCTCCCTTTACACTAGTACTTAAACAGACTGTGTATGTGGTTGTCCATTTGTTCTTTATATCGCTATGTCTAAGTCTAATCTTATATATACTGTATACTAGTACATGGCTTGTGTTAGTTAAATTTCTGTATAGCTTTGTTGTGCTCCGTTTAGCAGCTGTATATAGCTTGTAACATACTAGGCTGATCTAATTGCATGTATATCACTAAATGGTTTAGTTCAGCCCCAAAATATATTGTTGACTTATACATATAAACGTGTGTATGTGTGTGTGTGTTCTCTTTTAAATCTTCGCTATTCTTTTCTTCACTTCGACATTGCCTTTAATTTTTTAGGTTAAAGTGTCTCTAAGCACACTGAAACTTCGTCAGAATATTAATTGTGTTTTATTGACTTGCCATGCCTTATCTCAAGAGTTTCCAAAATGTACACAGAAAATGTCATGTTCGACAGGGTGTATGAGACAACAAGTTGGTCGCAAATTGACTTTTTTTTGTCCTGCAAGAAAAGAGTGAAAATCTAGTGATCCAACACCCGAAGCTGATAAAATATAATCTACAGACTGGAAATATAAACTTGTGAAAGTGACAGTGACCGTTAGTAGCAAGTAGCCTGCAAATATCACTTTTAGGTGACAAAATAAATTATTTTGGGGCTATCATGTGTCACACATACAAGTTGCAGGACACGCCTGAGTTTAGATGCATTGGTTAGAGTTATTCGTTTATTTTGAAATCTGTGACCGGAAGTACATATATCCTAGGGGTAACGACGTCAAAAACGTAAACCCTCGCTCGGAGAAACTTTCCACGGTAATAACAACATCTCCTATTTGCATTACCTCGCAGCTCTGTCACTGTACTGTTGGCTTGTTTGCGTTGTCTCCTTTAGCTTAACTGCGTCTGTTTGTTTTGGATAACGCTGTTGGCTTTGTCCTTGACTCCCGTCTCTGTATGTCCAACTGTCTCAGTCTCACTCCCTCTCAAACAACATTTAAGCACACATTATAGCAGCCATTAATTAAAACCAGACACTAACGAGCATATAGGTCTACCAGCTCTTTCCCTTTCGCCCCCCTCTTTCCTCATCTCAGACGCAGTTGTTGCTGGTAGATTTGTTTACATCATCATGCAAATCGAGGCTCACATATAAAGTTTAGTTAGTTTGCACTTCCACCAGCTGACCACAAGGTCGCAGTGTTGCAGTCTGGAAGCTACCAGCACTCTGTAGTGTTTTCAAAAGTTTGAATAGTAAAAGTTGTATTACTTGTGTTACTCAACAGATGGGATCCTCTGCTCTGTTGGTGTTGTTAGTGCTTCAGTTTGGAGTTGGACAAAGCTCCTATAAGCATCTTCATGAAGATCATTACATTGGCCAGCAGCACAACCCTGAACATGACATGAACGTCCTGCTCGGGGATGAGGTTTCTAAATATCTTCACATTTTCATACACTCTCCATCCCTGTTCCTACTCTTCGTCCATCACCTGCTCACTTCTTATGTTATGCACTCGTAGGACACCGAGGAGATAAAGAAACTCAGCCCAGCAGAACAGAGGAAAAAGATCATGGACATTGTAAAGAAGATTGATACAAATGCTGACAATCTGCTGAGTGCAGGTAAATGCACGTTGTTACTTTTGTAAAATAAATAAACAAAGGTGGTGGAAGGTCATACTCTCACAGGTCTGCTGTGTTTCATCCACAGAGGAGATCACACTGTGGATTCAGCACGTCTACAGACAGTATGCTCTGGATGATGCGAAGGAACGGTTCCCTCAGTTTGACACTGATGAAGACGGTGTTGTAACGTGGGAGGAATACAACGCGGTCGCTCATGACCAGCTCGTTAGTTTTGATGATACAGCTGTTCTGGAGGATCCAGAGCAAGAGTCTCTCAGACATGTAGGTGTGCCTGCATTGCTTTGTTAATCAGCACATTATACCACAGCCTAGTTAATCTGTAATACCTTAACATATAGGCTCATATCCCCCATTAGCTCCATCTGAAGGAGAAGAGGCGCTTTGATTTTGCTGATGTGGACAGCACATCTGGGCTCAATGTGCCGGAGTTTCTTGCCTTTACCCACCCGTCTGAAGTGGATCACATGGCTGTAAGATGAGTTTAGCTCCTACTCCTGCAAAATCTGATATGATAATGCATCCTTCCACCCATTATAAGCATTCCCCTTGTGTTTCATGCGAAAGGTGACTGGTTTACCTTCTTTTACCAATAGGATTTTGCCATTGAAGATGTGCTGGGTGAATATGACACAGATAAAGATGGCTTCATCAGTCTAAGTGAATTCATTGGAGATGTTCGTGGTGAGGGTAAGACCACAGAGATTATTTTAAAACAAAGAATGATCTATTTGTTGTTAGTTATCTCTGCTGTGCTCACTCATATTACCCTATATTTTGTTTTGCCATCAGAGGAATTCCCTTCACAGTGGGAGATTGAAGAAACTGTGCGGTTTAAAGACCTCTATGATCAAGATAAGGATGGCAAGCTGAATCGGGAGGAGCAGCTCCGCTGGGTTGCACCTAATAGCTACGGTTCAGCAAGAGAAGAGGTGTGACTCGACTGTTCAACCCAGATTTTGTTGGTACAATGAATGCAAAAAAATCAAGAATACAGAGTTCTTCTCCTTGGTTTTATCATCAACAGGCTCTTCACCTTCTCAAGGAAATGGACCAGGACGAAGATGGGCAGATCTCAGAGGCTGAAGTTTTGAAAAACCAAGAAACATTCATGAACAGTGAAGTGACTGACTATGGCAGACAGCTACACGTATCACATGATGAATTATAGCTGTATAATTATAATGTATGTTTATTATTAGAGAGTTTTATCATTTGTTTTCATGAAGGTGCAATGAAGGTTTTATTTCCTTTGTTGTACTTTCACATCAGTCATGGGATTCACGTCAATGGCTGGAGATGGTTGAGCTAATCTGTATACAATCAATTTGCAACAGTAAGTGGCATAGATGAAATACAGGAAAACATATATTGCAACACAAGTATTACAGACTCAACCACTCTCTCAAATGACCAGTGTTGTTTCACCACTTTTCTGACTGAAAATCTAAACATATATATATATATAGATATTATATTAGATAACATAATATTGTAAGTAACTGTAATATTGCATTCCTGTTATTTCCCCCCCTCCCTATGTGCATATAGTCCTGAAGAACAAGGGAGGTTCAACTCAAAATATGATTTTAACCACGCTTGGAGAAATTTGACTTTGTTTTTGTTACATTTATAGAACAGGATAGTTGAATTGCAACTGTGTATTGCCATTACTTGTCCTTTCACATGCCAAAACTGTGCTTACATAAGTATCCGTCTGGTAGTGGTAACGGCTGACATGTTGCAGCTCTTCCTCATTTAAATCAAATGAGTAAGTGAGTGAGTGTTGCTGGTTTCCTGAATGTGTCATGATCCATTTTACTTGCAACCAGAAACCGTGTGTTACTCTGCCAAGCTTTATAAAGTGACTTTAAGTTGAGTGGATTCTCCAACGGGGACAAGATGACATTACAATTTAAAGATGCCTTTTGGGTGAGTGAGCGTGGTACAACTTATCTCTACATTTGTTACATGTTTATGTTTATGAGTTAATTGACACATTGTCAGTTTTTACTGAGGTGTGAAGTCAGCATTGTATTCAGTATGTTCACTGGAGTTTTGAGATAATATCTTTCGTTTAACTTTCCACTTCTGTTGTATCTAGTTTTTCTTTTTGTGTGCACATTATCTATTGTAGCATACACAAGTAATGTATTTAGTTATCTGTAGCTTATCTTTGGCTACAGTTGCCTAAAGTGTTTGTGCTTTCTTTAGACTTCTCATCTTTGCTTTCTTTCTTTTTCTCGTGTTGAGGCTCACTCAATGGCTACTGAATTGTTGCTTTGATTAAACTATTATATACATGAACTGTTATTTTTTATGCAGTTTTGGGTTGTGTACCCTCTTTTTTAAATCTACAGCCAGACGTGTCACACAAACTAAATAGGTCTTTCTTGGTAGTGTAGTGTAGGGAAAAATGTCACTACAGCAACCTCATAAAGCAGGGGTCTCCAACTCAAATTGGCTTAGGGCTACTGATAGGAGGGTACGTCATTGTTCAAGTACTACAATAAAGTCCAAAATATTTACATTACTAACATCATGCTTGACAAAAAATGCAAAACAGAAATCCCAATTTTATACCATCTTTTGCTGTTTGCAGCCAAACAAACAAATGAAGGTCTGCAACCTGCTCTCTTCTTCATTTCTGGACTTGACCTTTGCCATTATTTTGTGCAGACAAAATCCTAAAAAAAAAAAAATAGAATTGTTTTTTTATTTTAAATGTATATGAAGAGGTATTTTAAATTTCTTTTAATAATAATAATGATAATGTGTGCTGGATTATATTTTTGGCAGTATGTTGCGTGCCAGAGGGAGGGAGGGGGGGGTTTCGGGACGGAAATGACCCGGGGACTGGCGATGTGACCCCTGTTATAGAAGTAACACTGTGCTCTGTTTTATTATTTAGGGTTTCCTGTTGATGATGCTAATGTAATCTTCCATACCTGTCTTCAATGTAGTGACTGCCTGTTCAGATCTGTTTTTTCACACATGGGTACTTTTGTTTGTTTTTCTTCGACCATATGCTCAAGCAAAGCATCAAGAACTGGCTAGCTGAACTATAGCTTCAGTTTGCAATATGAAGTTGTGTGCTTCCCTTTTCATCTTTATTTTCATCCTGTCTCAGTAATAATAGAAATTAACATCAGAGCACAGTGGTAGTTTTAGTTTTGTCCATATTAGTCAAAGTAGGAGTACTTTTACACCCAGAGGGGTTTTTGGTTCATTCAGACCCAAGCAGCAGTATGTAACAATTTCCATTCTAGATGCCTCCACGTGGAAAAAAAAACCACAAGTAAAACTTACTGTCGGGTATCATTTAAATATTCAGCTGATGCTTAAAGGTGATCATTTGGGCCTTTTCAATCATAAAGAAAGAGTAACATGTTCTTTCCAATATTCATAAGACATTTTAGATGTATTGCTGCTGCCTCTTGGCCAGGTCGTCATTGTAAATGAGAATTGGTTCCTAATTGACTAATCTGGATAATTAAAGGTAAAAAATAAAAGATTTTGATTCAAAATGTAAAATCATTTGTGAGGCTGAAATTCCTGAGTATAAGTACTATGGTTTATGATTCATGGTTCCAGGGAGATGACTTCATCAGTAATATTGGGTACGAGAATATCAGTCAGAGACTTAATGATGGTCGACGGACGTGCAAAGAGATGGAGGAGCTCTTGAAAATGAGGTGGGCAATTTCTTGTAAAACGCACATGCATGAATAAAACACCGTCTTTACAATGTGGTTCAGCTCTATTGTGGTTTTGTCCATGTAGGGCATCAGCAGAGGAGAAATATGGCAAGGAACTGGTCACAATCGCCCGCAAGGCTGGTGGTTTATATGAGATCTGGTATGCGTGTGAGTGCATTTCAGCACTGAGTTACTCACGAGTATTTCTTTTTCAATTAATACATTTATTCTGCAGTACTGGACATGCAGAAAACCATTTGTTAAGAATTCCCTGTGTTCATTCTTTTCACAGCACTTTGAGAACATCTTTTGATGAAATGAAAACACGTAAGCACACACATTTATCACACATTATTTAGTACTGAATACATGAGTCAGATTAAGAGTTTGTTAGTTGTGTGCTTTGGTGTTTTTCAGAAATCGAAAATGTAGGAAACATGCACATTCAGCTTGCTGGTTTCCTAAAGGAGGAGGTGAAGAGAATGGAGCAGTTCAGAGAGCGACAGAAAGAACAGCGGAAAAAGGTACCTGTGAATGTCCCCCCCTCCCCCCCTCATTTGCACACAGAGGAAGTCTAAAAAGAGCTGCTTCTCTTACTGGGGTTTTTGATGATGATGATGATGAAGAAGATTTTTTACACTAACATTATGTTATCTTTTGCTTCCCAGTTTGACGTCATCATGGATAAGGTCCACAAGACAAAAGTCTCCCTCTACAAGAAAACAATAGACGTAAGGTCAATTCTCAGGTCTAGACCTCTCCATTTCAGTGTCAGCGAGTATATTTATATTTGTCTTTACATCATTGTGGGACTGTTAAACAGAATGAATCATCTCAGTAGCAGTTTTAGTGCAGCTACATCCTGCCTGTATGTGAAGTGCAGCTAGGCCTCATTCAGAAGGCTTTAGCTGAGAGGCATGGCACTGTATATTTAAGATTGGAAGAGGAAGATGAATTTGCAAGAAAATAAGTAAATGCTCGTTTGTGTGATAGAGGCATTGCTGCTCAGAAGAAGGAAGTGAAGTCTTGATGCACTTTGTTTTTCCTGCACTTGCATGGCACCTCTCTCTTGACTGAACATGACCCCCCTCTCTTTCCTGTTGAGGGTTCATAAAGCGAACTGTTGATCTGGGTGCTAATAGTTTCATATGTTCTCTGTTCTGTTTCCGTCCCAGTCTAAAAGATCCTATGAGCAGCGCTGCAGGGAGGCGGATGAGGCAGAACAAAGCGCAGAGAAGATGGCTAACACACCCACAGCTACTCCCAAACAGATCGAGAAGGTAAATCTGTACTGTGGTATGTATGACTCATAATAGGTCCAGTTATTTCAATTCAGTGATGAAAAGCTAGTATAGGCTTGACTTTGACCTGAAGGATGAGTGGTGCTTTCCAGTTTCTGATTGTTCATGCAGTTTATTGTAACTACTTTAATGTCCTTTTAGGAGCAGAGAATCCTTAAAGATCCCCTCTAGACATGTTAGTAATAATTTGTGTCCGATATTTGCTACTCCTTCTCCCTCCTCAAATAATTACAGAATCTATTACTCTATTAACTTCACTCTCAGTGTACCTGCACTGCAGGTGGCAAGTTTCAACATCATACTTGTGCAAGTTGCATATTGACCCGTGAAAGGGCTTCCTGTGTGAACTGAGATTGAGCACAGAGAAACGTTTCTCCTTCAGCAAATAAATTGCCTTCTGCTGTCAAAATCAGCCCATACGTCATTCTGCACAGTGGAGGTCAAACATTCGACTGAAATAACAACAAGTAAATAATAATTTTTCACACAAAGGCCTGGCCCCTAATATCTAACCAACATAGTTCTTATGTTTAAGACAAGAGAAATAAGGCAACCCAAGTTAACCACATAACTAACTAAACGTTAAGCACAAACTAAACAAGAAACAAATGATAAAAATCACATACAAGCAAAAGCGCATAGGATAAAACCAATAAAATCAGACTAATTAATTAAATCAAAAAGATGAATTAAAAGTGATGGTAAACAGGTACGTAGGTCTTTAGCTTGGACTGGGAAGTAGTCAGCATTGTTGCAAGTCTTAGTTCTTCTGGCAGTTATTACACATTTAAGCAGCTTAGAAAACAAAGGCAGCTTCTTCATGCTTTGTTTTGGCTGGGGGAAATAAGAAAAGGTATTAACTATATTATAGACACTGTAAAACAGTTTGTGCTGCTGGTTTTGTTTGTCTATCATATCTGTCACTGGCATCTGAGAGTCTAGTGAGCATCTCATAAACAATGCTATATCAAATGTAGGTATATTGAATTTCGGTTGCTGGCAACCAGATGGATAGTTTCTCAAACAACAGCTATTCCACAGTTACTTCACAAATGCTGTCAGAGTGGGAAATTCAATTCTCTTTGGCCTTGACTTCATTAGTAAAGTTAGTCATTTATAAGCTGTTCTGATTTCAAATGAAACTTACAAAGACTGTCAAGAAACCTACACAATAAACTATTTCATTTTATTGAGAGAAGTACAGATTTACAGATATACAGGCAATGTGTAATTGTGTTTTCTCTTTTCTTTTTCAGATGAACAACAAATCTAAACAGTGCAGAGAAGCTGCAGAAGAGGCTGGTAAGGAAATAACGGGAGCAGGGAAGAAAGTTAGTTCAAGAAGGAAGCCACTATGGTTTACCAGACACATTTTCTGAAGATGGTGGTCACATTTTACTTCCCTTTTATTTAGAACTGCAGGAATATGTTTAGATAATAGAGTGTCTGCTGTTATAACTGTGATAGCAAAGTACACGACGTCACAGTTTAAATCTGTGTTACAGAAGATCTAATCTAATCTGATTCTTTTACTTGTCTTTAGAGAAGCAGTACATGTCAAACACTGAACAGCTTGACAAGACTCGCCAGGAATGGGAATCAACACACGTCACCACATGTGAGGTAAAGTATAGAAGCTGTGTTTTTCCTCTTCCTGTATTTATCAAGTTAACAATGCACACTGTGGCATGATGCATTTTAAAATGTACAGACTTTGGCAAAGAATGGCAATACCCAGGGCCTGTTTAGTCAATGAGGATGTGAAATACTTCCTATTAGCAGATTATAAAGTGAGTCACTAATCTACAAAAATGCTTCCGGGTAACCAAGTGTGATAACATCAACAAAACTAAAGCAGCCATTCAACTACTATTCATCCCTATTCACACTCACACACACACACACACACACACAATAAACCAGGAACCAGAGATAAAAACAAAAAGAGGAAAGACAGTTAAATGCTGAATGTGGAGTTTCAGTGTAAAATACATAAATACATATTTGAAAACTATGAAGCTTAAAAAGCACTGTACTGTGTGTCAGTGTCATCTCTGACTATTTAGTCTTTCTCCAATCACACTGTTTTACAGATGTTTCAGCAACAGGAAGAAGACCGCATCAGCGTACTAAGGAATGCTTTGTGGGTCCACTGTAACCATTTATCAATGCAGAGTGTGAAAGACGACGAGGTGTGTGCAGCTGAATGTGAAAAACTCTCATTACACACCATACACTGTACTGCGTATTTAAAACTCAATTTGGATAAACTGGTCTTTCAGTGTTACGAGGATGTGAGGAAAACACTGGAAAATTGTGACATCATCGCAGACAACAACTGCTTTGTGCAGATGAAAAGAACTGGCTCTACCCCCCCAGGTAGGCACCTGCCCTGCAGCCTTCCTGGTTTTGATTTGAATATGTTCTAAATTTTAATATAATCTCTCAGCTGCTGCTAAAATGCGTGGCACCTTTGGAAACAGGTGATGCATTGTGAAGCCCTGGAGCATTTTATTTTCTATTTACTGAATTTCACTGGTCCTTCCACAGCTCCAATTGAATACCAAAATTACTATGAGAGGGATACTACCGCTGAGAGTAACGGCAGTGCTGGATTTGTAGGAGGAGTCATGAAAAGGTTTGAATTACAGAATGGGAAGCACTGTTACTAAATGCATGATGATGTTAGTGATTAGTGGGTAATTCACTAATGTTTTGTGTTTTTTTTTACTTCCCCCAATTTGTAGGTTTTCAAATCTTCTGCAGGTGAACTGTTCCAGTGGCTCCAAACTCAGCATCAATGAACCAGTTGCACAACCTCCTGGTACAGTACCAAAGTCATTTAAATAATAAATGCAGTTTCCAAAATGATGCAAGATATGACTGTGACTGAGAGACAGTTGATCCTTGCAACACAAGATCTGAGCAACTATGAGTTACATACTGGTGTTAGTATTCTTTCCACCAGTGATTCCCTGCTAGTACTTGTACTCAAGTACATTCTTTTCACACAAAATGTGATCTTTTTTTCAGCGTGTTTGCATTCATACTACTATTACTTGTACTGGCAGAACATTTAAAGGGACAGTTCACCACAAAATCCAAAACACATATTTTTCCTTTCTGTAGAGCTGTTTATCCATTTGGATTCTTTTGGTGTGAGTTGCCGAGTTTTGGAGATAGTAGCTGAACGTTAGTTGTCTCAGTGGTGCTAGGTGAGCTAGCTAATGTTACAGTTCAGCCTAGGATGTCATGAACATGTACATCCTGCACTGTCACAAGCCCAAGCCTCTTGTCCGCAAGTCTCAAATAATATCCAGGTTAAAATCAGTTCAATGAGCACATTTGAAACATGACAGGTTGTGTCAATGAAGGGGCACTTGAGGTCACCTGATAGCACTGTGAAAAAAAGGGTTGGGAATCGCTGCTTTACACCAGCACTAACATCACATCATTCATTTGCCAATGATCTGATTTTGGGAAGTTTGCAAAATTGCAAATTATAAGAGGCTTCACACAGTAACTGAACTGGTGCTAATTATGTCTGCAATCCTTTCAAACTCCTCAGCACAAACATCAGACGGAGTATATGCTTCCATTCCTGGATTTCAGGGGTCCCAGCTGAGTACTGACCAGTATAAGGCTGTGTATGACTATGAGGCACAGGTCAGTTTTCTTGCCACAGATTTCTAACCGCCACGAGACACATTCTAATGTTCTAATTCTTGTTGATTTTAAGGGATATCTATTGAGTGATCATTTCTGTCCCTGTTCTTAGGGAGAGGATGAGCTCTCTGTATGTTTTGGGGATGTCGTAGTTGTCATCGATCAAGGTGAGGATGGCTGGTGGACGGTGCAAAGAAATGGCCTCACTGGGCTGGTTCCAGGAACTTACCTTGCCAAAGAATGAGTTCACCAGACTGCCGAATGTAAGACTGTATGACTACTACATTTGCTCATTTAACATTTTGTAAAGGCCTTGTCATTTAAATTTACCTAACAGTTTGAATCCTGTTGTTCATGTTACATGTATCATTAAAACCCGTACGAGTAGGATTTGAATATATGTACAACTTTGGCCCCCCCTTTGGTAGAATCATAAAAGACACTGACAGAGAAGTCACCCCATATGTAACCCTAAATGAGTTAAGGGCTTTTCACATGGATTTCTATAAAAACTGATGCCATTATAATTAGAATATCACATAATAATCCCACAGATATGGGCTTCCACACGCAGTAGCATGAGACAGTGTTTAATGGTGAATGTTGTACTGCTATGGCAGATATTCTTTGCCCTTACAGCTGGTGTGTTGAGTCTTCCTCATACCAATGACAGCAGGGAGAATTAGTGATCTGTTGCACAAGGTCACTGCTGCACTAACCTTTTTCATATGCTGTGTTATTCTTGTATAGCCCTAAATGTTGGCCAGAATGTGTTTCTGTTGTAGGCGTGTATATAATTTCTATGTGTAGTTATTGTTTTGTGCTAAGAATAATTATTTATCAAAAATAAATGCTCAGTTTGTTTTCTTTACATATGCTTTTACAAACTATTTAGGATGTGACAAAACCACATTGCTCTATTTTTTCCTGTTTTGATCTATTAATTGTTGTGAAGGCTATTCTTATTAATGTAGATTACAAGAAGACCAGAACAAACAAAGTAGCTGAAATGCAACCGAGCGCTACACTTGGGTCACGTGTCTGAGCGGTTGGCAACAGGTGATGCAATGCTAATTCACTGTCTATCAAGTAACCAAAGTTGAGTCATTGTGCCACCATTTTTAGTGTGTGAGAAAGGCCAAAATACTTGTTTCGTGGTCATAAGATGTTCCAGAAGCGGGCACAACTAGGTGCAGCAATTTCATCTCTTTGTAAACATATGAGAGAAATTAAAACAATAAAATCAGAATACGCACTCATTTAATTTCAAACTTTTCCCACATTTAATTTACAATCTTGATTCTCGCCATTGCTACATATCAGCAAATAAAATTCTAAAACTACCACCAGTAGACTGTTGACACACAAACAAACCAAACAGCTATAGGACAAATCTATCTAGAGTTAAGAATGCATTACTACGTGAAAAAAAAATCCCACATACCGGAGGGGATCACAAGGTTTCATTCTTAAAGGAAAGATCAGACAAGCAAAAGCCAGTTAACTTACATAGTTAGGGCTGTGGTGTCCTCTATTTCTTGACAGAATACTGCTGGTGAAAAGTGAGGTTTTAACCAAAATTAAGCTGGAATAGTAGTAGTACAAGTAGAATAGTAGTAGCGGTAGTAATAGTAGTAGTAGTACTGGAGGTACAGGGTAATATTATACAGTCTTTCATTCAAGTACAAGACAGATTTAAATATAAAATATCGAAAGCAATACACATAGTGCAAACTAACATGAGGAGATGACCCTGTCCACGTTTTATTCCATACATGACTAACAACGTTTGAGTTTGGTTACCCTTAACCTCACAGCAACAGAATACTTTCTACATCTCATTTACAATGACCATTACAGAATTTGGTCAATAGCTTTTTTGGGGGGAAAAAAAAACTGGTAAAATATATAACTTTAGTGTGGTTAGTGTTTTAAGGTTAGTGTGGTAATAGATTGTTTTCATGCTCTCACCAACGACACAGGGTAAATTCTTAGAATGTGTGTTGTGGTGAGAAATGTATTCTTCTTTATGCACATGTGCCCCCTGTAATGAGAAGCTCGTAGGCAGGATCTCTGCCTCTGCGGCACAGCACGACACATGCACACAACATCCCCAGCATCTAGAGGAAAGAGACAGACACCATATTAGTGTTTTTACTTCTTAAATGTTGTTCATAGTTACAACCAGTCAGACATTTGGCCTTGCAGTATGGAATTCCACTGTAGTTGTGTAACTTGTGCTGCTTTGTTTGGACTTATTGCTACTACTATAAAACCAATAGTGAGACAGAAAACAAACAGACCAAAATAATTAAAGGTGTATAGAAGCATTTTGGGAAATACACTCATTTGCCTTCTCGCTGAGACTTAAATGAGAAGATCAATGCCACTCTCCGGTCTGTATAGTGAATATGTATCTAACGCCAATAAAAAAAAATAAAAACGTCTTAGCTTAGCACAAAGACTGGAGACAGGGGGAAACAGTTCTGTCCACAGATAAAAAAAATCTATCTAGCAGTACTTCTAGCTTAACATTTAACACATTATATCTTGATTGTTTAATCCATACAAAAAACAAAGTTTAAACAAAACAAGTTCTGGTGTTACAGGCGTTACATGGCAGTCTATTTCTTGACTGGATGTGGTGACTTTCTGCGTTCCTGACATCACCATCAGGTTGCCTAGAAACTACGGTAAATTAGTGAGCTTTAAAATAGTACAACCATATATGTAAAGCGGAAAGATACAAATTGAGCAAGTGACAAAACCACATTGCTCAATTTTTTCTTGTCATGATCCATTTATTGTTGTGAACACTGTTCTTATTAACATGGATTACAAGGAGACCAGAACGATCCAAACAAAGCAGCTGAAATGCAACCGAGCGCTATTCATGGGTCATGTGTCTGAGCGGTCAGCTCTCTTTGGTTCAAAGATATCCGGTTACTCTGCAACAGGTGATGCAATGCTAATTCAGTGCCTATCAAGTAACCAAAGCTGAGCCATTGTACCACCATTTTAAGTGTGCGTGTCCAAAATAATTGCTGGGTGGTCATACAAACACCAAAGTGTAAAGACGTCAAGTTCTGGTTTTACGGGGCGTTACATGGCAGACTATTTCTCGACTGGCTGTAGTGACTTTCTGTAATCTTGTCGTCACCATGAGGTTGCCTGGCAACTAGGGTTAATTAGTGAGCTTTAAATTGGTACAAACATACACGTAGAGTGGAAAGATACAAATGTAAGATTCACTCACTTCATGTGACGATTTGTTTTGTACCATAGCCTTAATATGAGTCAAAATATAAATATGTTACGATAAAGCCACAACTACTGGGGCAGATCCGGACACATATTTTAATGGATCAGTAGCACCTAAAATGAAGCCAATCAACATGCGTACATGTACTGCAGTGCAGTGCGCTGTATGGGAGTGAAATTTAGACTGTGTAGATGTGGAAATGTATTTGGTCGCACTATTCTGACACCTAACAAAACTGTTATCGCTCCTTTCTTATTAGCAAACAGAAGTTTACAAAACATTCAGCTTGCAGCTTCTTCTTTTTTTTAGCTGGCACAGGTCGCTTTCACCGGCTAGAGTGACGAACTTTGCTGACGCTTGTATCAGATGTCGGAAATTCAAATTAATTCTGTGAGTGTTTACAGAGTGATATGTTTTCTCTCTAGCTGATCGTCTCACAGCAGTTTCAGGAGTGCCTGTTCAACTTATATTCTTATCATATCAATAATTTCAGCTTATCAACTTCACTCAATAGTTTTGCACCAGGACCTGCAGTATTTGGTCAGACACATATTTAATTTTTTATGACTCAGATACTTAAAGTGGTATGACTTGAAAGGGGGCCAAAAAATAAATAGTAAAAATCTTTAAAAATCTTAAAGAAAGTTACATACTTGGATGGCAGCAAATGTCAGTGCAGTCCAGATGACATACATCATGATCTCCTTCAACTTCTTCACAACCAGAGCTTCACAACCCTACACACACACAGAATATGTTCAAACAAATCAAGTTATAAGTAATTGCTGTTTAAAAATGTGTAGTATTTGGTATGAACACTTGACAAGTTTAAAGATTCCTTTACTTCTTGGTAGAGATCCTCGGGATGTGTGAGGGACCCGGTGCAGGTTGCAACTGTAGTTTTACAACAGCTGATGGGTACGCTGTTATTTTTAGATTCTTCATACCAGTGTGTATTCTGCCAGTCTGAGTAATTGTGGATCCCACAGCACTGAAGCTGTGAAAATTAAAACAATCAAAATAACTGGCCTGCGGTTGTATGCCAGCACCAATCAGTCAAGTCGCAGTCTACATGCATGTCTGTGTAGACTCATATAGTGTATGTGGTGAAGACTTTGAAGGAATTATATAAAAGCTATAAAGAGTATTACACGTCTTCTACTAATATTACAGCTCAGTTTTTTATGAGCTGTAGGTGAAACCCACACACATGATCTCATTAGCGAAGTGCACTCAAACACTTCGCTTGCAGTCATTTGACTCTAATGACACTATGAATGAGGCAGTAAGTGAAAGGCAGAATGTAAGAGATGGAAAGATGAATGACCGTACTGTGCTAGCTATTGTTTACTCATTGTGTGGTCTTAGTCAATATGGGTGTGAAATCTGAAATCACCCACTTCATTCTTTATTATAATTCTGGCCAAAAACTTATTTTGAGGTCACAATGACCTTTGAAGTGTCACCAAATCATTGTCCGACCAACTGTGAAATATGGTCCCAAACTTTGGTTCCTGAGTTAGGATGCTGAATAATGGCCAAAAAAGTGTTTATTCCAGGACATTATGATGTCTCAGTCTAGTTGACCTTTAGGAATATAAATGCATGCACATGTGTGTGAAATATTGTCATAATTACCACTCTTTACTATCTATTCTTGAGTTACGACCCAAAAACGTGTTTGTTGACGTCATTCTGAGCTCACAGCGACCTTTGAGTAAAACATGTCACCAATTCATTGTTCGACCAGTTGTAAAATATGGTCATCAGTTCTTAAATTTCAAGGCAAGTTTGAAGAATTCCCTTGAGGCGTTCCTGAGATATCACATTTACAAGAATGAGATGGATGGACAACCCAGAAACATAATGACTACTCAAGATTACTGTCCTCACCTGTCTCTGAACATAGTCGATGGCCCGACTCTGGGCATTGCTGTTGGTACCATTGTACTCATCATACACCTTCTTGATGGAACTATTAACTTCATCTTCAACCTGTAAATGGTTAAGAAAGGTGAGACTAAGCATTTGATGACACATTTCTGTGAATGCTTCAAGCCAACGTGATTGCAAGCACAAGCAGATTAGAGTAGGCTACGGCTGAACGATTGTTCCTGCTCTTCCGGATGGGTGTGATCAAGTTAAGCCTCAAACAAGGCCAAGAAAAACAAACATGTACCGACTCGTATTTGACTTCCTCACCTTTGCTCTGTAAATGTATCCGAGAACCACCACCGCCAATTCCGTCAAGAAAACCAGCAGGAGAATGACGACAAACTGCGGATTGAATTACAAGACTCAGGATGCACAGACAACACGCAACGCATTGGAAAACTGACACGAACTTAAATGAAAAGCGGACTGTTTGACACTTTGACATGTTCAGATTAGACAGAATACTTCCCCTTGGGAGAAAAAGTTTGAATAATAAGCTTTTTGGGTGTATAAATACAGTATATGGAGTCCATTATTTAAAATCTTTTGTTCATACCTTCTGAAATGTTTGTACTTTTCTAATTGTTTGTGAAAGTTCATTTCTGAAGAATCGTTTACTACTCAAAGGCATTAGTACCCTCATCTATCCAGCTGTTAACTGACCGTTGTGAGTCCACAGTAGCTCTCTCTCACGGTAGCGCAGCATCCAATGAGCCCAATAAGGAAAAGGAGGGCTCCAACTGCAATAATGGTCACTGCTGGGATGAGAGTGTACACGTCTTCAAAGAAGTGATCGTAGTCATCGTATGTGATGAAGACGTACGCGCCAACGTAGCACAGGACACCAGCAGCAGCCTGTGGGTGCAATCAAATGGTAACACATCATGAACATTTGACATAGCCTGTTGCAAGACATTTCACACGTCTTTTTTTAACTTTTAAACGTGTCTGGGTTCAGCTGCACCATCTATCTATCTATACGTGACAATAAAGAGTGCACTGTGGTTGGTTTCTGGATGGTTATTATTCAGCATCTAACATGCAGCAGCACAAAACACATCATCACTTCTCCCCAGTGGTGAAGATCTCTTGTTCTTTGCTTGAATATTTCCATGTCACGCTACTTTAAACTGCACTAAAAGGCTGAGTTGCAGATTTACTACATACAACATACTCGCATGATTTCTGGAGGTTTAACTACCCGAGAGCATGTACTCATCAAACTGCTGCAACATCCAAATGCTGCATACGAATTAATGCAGTGTAAATAACAACAACACACGAAAATAAATGCATCTTACACTTGAGGCACAGTTTGCTGGTGGTATCTTCTTTTTTACTTGTCCTTTTAAGCAAGTACCACAGTTTATTTAACACCTGTGATGAGACCTGCTGCTTATAAAGAATGACCCGAGGGCTTCATACCAAAAACAAGAGGGACATTTCAAACTAGGTTAGTTTTTATGCCATTATTGACACATCCAGCTGAGTCATAATCTCTGGGTGGATTAAGGTCACTACTCCCCGCATTGAGGGTCAAAACACTGATAGTTTGACTTCAGTAACGTTAAGCAACACTGCCATGGTTTAACTAAAACCACAACGGCGTGCTTCCCTTAACACTGTGTGTTGTTAGCGGGGAAACCATTAAACAATAACAACATATAACAAAGTGTTTACTACTGACTTGTCAAACTAATCCCTCCCTGGTTTTAAACAAAGGTCGGCTGCTGCAGCTAGCAGAGCTGCTGACTGGGACGACGCCGCTAAGCTAGCCGCTGTGACGCACGTTTAAAACTATCAGAAACCTCCAAACTTACCCAAAATATCAGGTTCAGAAAGACCAGGACCGTCTTTGACGACGTGATGCCGCACTGTCCCATCTTCAACCCGGGCATTTAATGCTGTAACGTGTTGAAATGTAATGCGTGGGTTTCTACTCAGACATGTCCCGGACAGATCCACCACTCACTCTCCATCTCTGTCACTGTGTGTGCATCGTCTGGTTGCGCCGCAGCGCCGCCACCACGCAACCAGAGCAACAACAAGAAAGTATTTACTCAACCACCCCGGAGTTTAGAGGATATGCTAAATATATATAACTATATTTTATAACTATATTAGCCTTTGTTTGTGATATATTCTGTCTGTCAGCTATTAAAAATAAACGTGTGTTAAAGTCAATCGAAATTGCATTTGAAGTGTTTTGCTGACATCTAGTGGTGGGAAATAATAATTTCACTTTCAATCAGAATCAGAAATTCTTTATTGATCCCCTTGAGGGAATATGTTTGTTACAGTTGCTCAATGTGCTCACACAATGTTAAACAATAGAAATAAAAAAATATATTACAATATCTAAAGCAATATATATAGGAATAAAAAGTGCATATAAAGGTATATACATATAAGTAAAAAATAGAAATATAATAAGCCTAAGTATGTACCTTATAATATATTTATATATGAATATATATATATGAAATGAGTATGGTTGCATTATTACAAAAGTATGACGGAATAGGCCAGTGTATTGCACATTGACCTGAGTATTGCGCCGTAATCAAATTATTGCACATTAACCAGAGAACATTTCAAGCACAAGTTTAGTGACTAATGACTCGGGAGAAGTTGTAAAGTTAGCTGGCCACAGTTTATTGAGTCTGTTAGCGTCCGCTACCCTCCACCTGCTGCCTCAGCACACAACAGCAAACAGGTTAGCACTGGCAACCACAGACTCATAAAACACCCTCAGCATTGTCCGGCAGATGTTGAAGGACCTCAGCCTCCTCAGAAAATAAAGATGGCTTTGGCCCTTCCTGTAGAGGTCAGTGTGTACTCTGTAGTCCTCTACAGTGTCCACACTGACCTCCTGGATGGAAACAGGAGTCAGTGGAGCTTTGGCCTTCCTCAGATCCACAACCAATTACTACTACTATTACCAACTACCAACTTCTTGCTTACACATAGTGGTGTAGTGGTAAATACAGTGGGTAAACTATAGTTTCCCCTAATTGATAGATACATTTAAACTAAAAATTTCAAAGAGGTTGATAAACAGAGTTTACTTAGGTATTCCCCCCACTATGCCCCTGCTTATACATAAAACATGTCTGAGTATCATTACCACTGGGATCACTGGTTAGATTACATGACCTCAAACATACAAGAGGTATACTGGTTTCACAATAGAAATCCAGAGATAAGGTAGTCAGTGGTCACTATATCCTCAGTATGTGCACTATGATTTATAATTGGTGTAACCTAAGAAGATTTAAAATAGAAATGTAATCAAATGAGTTTATTCTGTATGCCCACACACTTAAATACATGAAAATATACCTATACATGGTGAAGAGCAGAAAAGTGGCATTCATTCATTCATTTAGGCATTATTTAGATTGTGCACATAGAGACAAGAGTTACATTTTTTTGAGATTATCATTAAGGAAAGGGAAACTCTAACACATCTTATTTTGAGTTGTTTATCAAATACAATACAGTACAGACTCCATTGAAAGGAAAGTGCAGAGTTCTTTTCAACTTTCACACCTTCACAATTTAAAATTCACATTATCTGGAATAAACAAACACATAAAAGCACAGTTCTCTATGTATGTCATGTCACATGTCACCAATAGTGTTATACTCTTCTATTTCATAGTAGAGAAGCTGAACTCAGCATGTGTGCCAAATATTTTATCCCAGTGGCTGAAATGTGGTGCAAAATTGGTGTTGGGTTTCTGATGGTGCACATCGTGTTTGCTGGGCCCTCCATAGATGCCAAACGGTATCAGACGTGATGTGGACCAGGGGAAATCATAGCCACAGTGATCCTCTATGGAAACATAGACATGCAACACCATGAATGTCCATGTGGTGAGTAGGTGGCATCTCAGGATCACAGGATTCAGAGTGGTCCAAAAGCCTACTGTGACCAGCTCCCAGCCACCAAGACACTGAGTGGCTAGAGCAAAGGGAGATGAGTAATTGTGATGGATGGCATGAAAAGTGACATACAGCCAGCGGATCCTGTGATGGAGCAGGTGCCAGATGAAGTACTGGAAGTCAAAGAGCAGGAGGTTACCGATGACACCGCCAATCAGCTCCAGCAGGGCCGGCGCTTGGTCTGGCAAGTCCACAGGTGGCCTCCATGTCCACTGGGCTACAGATGCTGGGAGCACCAGAAACACATGGTTGTACAAGGTGACGCCCGCACAGTGCAGCAGTGTAGAGGCTGTAGGACGACGGCTGGGTTGGATCTTGAATTGCTGGACCCACGTCCACCTTTCTCCCATGATATCGCAAACAAGGAAAGGAAGGCACAAGACAAAGTAGGAAGACACGGTCAGAACAACGGGGAAGAGTGGAGATCTCAAAGAGTCTCTGTAGTTGAGTCTCAGGGTGTCCCACAGAGGCTGCAGCAAAGAGTCATTTCCTAAACATCTAATCCAGAGATCTACAGTGGTATCTGCAAGATCCATCCTGCAGTAAGAATCACAAGGTGAATATCGTATAAATGTCTGAGGAATGTAGACGTTACAGCTGGAACAGTGGCTATGGGACTTGAGTGTCTGCTGGTGCTTTGCACACTGTGTGGTATCAAGTGACAGCTGGGTGCAACAATTCAACAAATTATTCATACACCCTGGGTGACTGGTAACAAGTAGCTCACAGTGTGATAAATTGTTTAAAATTATTTCATCTCTCAAACATTTTGCTATATATCTGGCATTTACAGGGGCTACACTAGTAAAGCACACAGGAAATGGAAATAAATGGCTGCATCCCACTCAAAAAGATCACATACAGTATACTCTCAGAAATTAATACAACACCTTTCTGGAGATTTAACTAAATATATATATATATAAAAAAGAACAAGCTCTTAGCCTCAGCTTTTAAGCCTTTTGCAATTCTTTTCAGTGTTGAAAAAAATGGAAATCTACAGTTAAAAAAAAAAAAACATCATGTAGAGTAGTCATTTAATGGACCTTGTGGTGAGATAAGTGCTCAAAAATAAACTAAATAAAGGGAAAAAAGGTGGACGTCCATTTCACACTCCCAAACAGTAGAGGGCGACAAAATATATATATATCCAACGTACAACAGAGGACGTTTCTGCAGCCCGTGAATAAAACTCTCCACAACCTTTACACACAACAATCTCAGTCTGTTGTGTCACGTTTCAAATTGCGACCCCAACAGATTCGGTACCTTTCGTCGCACGTAATGATGCAAAACGACTGCGCTGCCGAGTCACTTGACAGGTAACAGTATGTAAGTTATCATTACACGGAGTAAACCTTTACGCGGACCCTTTGTCTGTATTTGAGGTAATGCCATCTTCCAAATATAACTCATTTGTTCTGAGTGAAGTGACCCAACATTAGCAGCACACCGTCAGCGAGGTAACGTTATAACGTTTGGTCATAAATAGTGTAGGTTTGTTGATATAAGAATATGGTAACGTTGCTGTTAGGCCAAATGAAACCAATAGACTCTTTTCACAACAGGAATGTTGACATGCAATAGTAGGGTAAACTCAGGTGTTACCAAGTACCATATTGTGCATGTTGGCTCACTGGGAAGGCTTTGGTAACATTACACTAAATGGAACAGAGCCTTAATTGGTAATAATTGGTAACACCTGGTCTTAGCCTACTGTTGTAGGTCAGAATGCTGCTGCTGTGAAAAAGGTCTATTCTAGCAAAAACGTTTATGGGTAATTTTACAATAATAGATGTCATATGATTCACATGGAGCAATAAAACGGGTTCAGGTCCATCGGATAGAACTTTTCCATATCTTAGGTATTTAACAGAGACAGGCTTGATGTTGCTATTTTACATTATATGGCCAAATGTGTACGGAAACCTCTGTACACATATGTACTTCAGATCTGGGTCTAAGGTATCATCATGGATCCCTTTATGGTATGCTGCCAAAATAATAGAAAACTAGGGGACTCCAATAACCAATAAATACATTTCCGGTACTTTATCTTAAAGAATCATGCACCAAAAAGGCTGGGAACCAGTGTGTTCTCTGTTTTAGAAGATAGGTTTCTTCCAACTTTGTGGCAGCTGTTTGGGGAAGCGCCCTGGTCTTGTTTCAAAAATGACATAAAGAAATGGTTTTCCCCATTTGGTCCCAGAACTTGACTGTCCCTTACCCCTGAGTGGAGGCTGTTCCAGTATCAGTATTAATGCCCATATCGATCACACTTTAGTGTAATCTTTGTTTGTCCACATACTTTCGGCATTGTAGCGTTTATATATGTAAAATAAGCAGATACACCTCTATAATCTGTGTTGCTGTGTTCGTTCATTCAGGTGGTAACAATGATGGAGGATGGGGAGGGAGAGAAGCCGACAGGTGACTCGGAGCCTGTGCCTCAAACACAGCAGCTGTGTCGCTTCTACTCTCAAGGAAGACGCTGCAGTTTCGGGAAGAAATGCCGATTCCTACATGTAAGAGATAATGCCAGAACTCATGAGAAGAAAACCGTCACGACTCCTAGCCAATCAGATGTCACATCTCCAAACTCGGAGGTCCCTGGAGGAAGTGAGGGGCACAGGCCTCCTCCCACTAGTAACTCCACAGTTGCCCCAGCAGCTAGCCGTCGCCCCTGTCGCTACTTTATCTCAGGCCACTGCACCATGGAAGACAGATGTCGCTTCTGGCATCCACCGCAGTTCACCCCAGTGGAGGACCACCCTATTCCTTGCACAAGGCCTGTGCAGAGGAACCCACCAGTACCCCGTCCCAGCATCCTCCAGGAGGTTAAGTTGCATGACCTGACAGAGGAAGTTGTCAACCAACTACGAGACACAGAGATCAAGCAGTTGAAGAAGCGTTTTCCCAAAGACCAGCTGATTATTCAGGAACGAGGTGATGGCAAAGTTACTTATTACAGGACCACTGTAGAGCCCACTGATCCAGACTGGGTAAACATTTTCTTGTACTTTTTTTCTTCTCTCCTGCCGCCAGAGCTTAGAGCAACAGTCTGCAAACATATTATTTCTATAATACAGTACAGATACACAGACAGTTCCTTCTGTGCTGTAACAGCAGAGTTATTTTGCTGTAATAGTGTTGTTAATACTGCATAAAATGGGATTTGTATCAATGAAACTCCACCGCTGAGATTAAATTAAGTGGATTTGTTAAAAGGGGAATGGGGGCGGGGCGCCCGGTTAGCTCAGTGGGTAGAGCTGGCGACCCACAGGGTTCGAATCCGACCTGTGGCCCTTTGCTGCGTGTCATCCCCTCTGTCTTGCCCCACTTTTTCTGTTATCTTCAGCCTGTCACTATCATAAAGGCAATAAAAGCCCCCAAAAAATACTAAAAACAAAGGGGAACGGGTAAAGCAGTAATTAAAACTTGGCTCATTTGAAAATAAGTAATTTGGATAGATTGCTATTCCATTTTTGGTGTTTCTGAGCCCCCATTATAGGGTAAAAAAGCCAAGTTTTCTGTGTAAATCAATAACGAACCAGCTTTTTTTATACTTGCCATGCTTTGGTTTGATAGTAGGTTACATATGAAAATTACTCTACACTATTATCTGGAAATATACTAACTCTGCATTTTAACTTATAGCCTTTTGATCTAAAAGAAATCGACATCATGGTGAGCTTCCCTGACAATTACCCACAGGAGGTAAAGACCACTGCTTTCATTTACACATCATGGTCTGTGATATACTCTACAGTAAATGGTTGTCATGAAAAGAACAGCTCCTCATCAACTTGATACATGTTCTTAGATTTTTACATTGGATATACCGTTGGATCAGAATCTGCCACCAGTAATGTCGAGGTAAAAGTATGTGCGGTTTATTTTGACATTTAATGTTTCATTTGAGTCATTTGGTGTTGACGTTTCTGTAAATCTCTGGCTACATAGACATGTACAGCAAGCATCACTGGAGTGGCTTCAAGCCAAGCATGCAACCAATCTGCTTCTGGGAAAGGTAGAGTTGCTCTTCCGGCCTTTTCTCCGCTGGCTAGATCGCAGTTTGGAGAGACTGTTCACTGAAGGAGCCAGGCAGGTGAGGCTGAACAGGAGATTGTGAATAGTGATGTTTGGGTTTTACCTTTTGAAGTTAATGAACCGACCTCTAAATAACTGCTGATGAGTGGTTTTTCTCTTCTTTTGAATGTTTTTGCAGTTGAAAAAAGACATTGATTTGGAAAAAGCTGGGCTGCAGTTCATATCGTACCAGGAGCTCCAGGCAACGGTGTGTGAAAAATCTGCCTCTGACACCACTGCCGCAGATGCAGATGAGGATGTCGGTGATGAAGGAAAACTGGAAAAGACGGAGGGCGAGAGGACAATGGAGGGAGGGAAGCACCAGGAGGTTCCCGGTTGTGATGAAGAGCAGCAGCAGGAGGAGAATGATGAGGAAGCCAGTCATCTGGTGGAGAACATTAAGATCAGTGATCCCCGCAGAGGCACAGAGGTGAAGCTGTTGGGACTGAGGCTGGGAGAGAACACAGCCACCGTAGTGGCACAACAAATCACAGTTTGTCTTCAATGTAACAGGTAAAGAAGAGAGCTCAATGTCATTTAATGTGTATCATTCGCTATTTTCATATTCAATATAGAATCCAAAATCTGAAAATTCTGAAAAAACTATTTGTTAGTTTGTTACTCATTCATGAATCCAACACAAAAAACATAATATTCTTTCCATGTTTTACTTAAATCATACTTTGATACTTTGATATTTAATGCGTGGGACCAGGAAGCTACAGACGTCTTTGTGTGCAGCAAATACACTTGAGCGATGGTGCTACCTGATTTAATGTAATGAATCTGAGCTTGAACATCATTATGAGAGAGAAGTATTTGTATATAAAGTATTTGTATTATAAAAGGACCTCGTTTTTTTATTATCCAAAATACTTTGTTGAAAAAAAAGTATGCTGATGTTCAAGCTCATATTCATACCATATTACTATACCATTATATATTGCATGCAAGTTTATCCAGTGCAAGACCCGAAGAAGTACACATTAAATATCAAAATCAATTTCCACCCATGGCTGTTTTTTCAATCATCCTATTTTTGACTTTGAGCTGAATAAATGTTTTTTTAACTTTCCGATTCTGGATTCTATATTGAGTATAAAATAAATGATACACAGATTTAATATTCCTTACAAATGAGAGTTTTTGGACTGTATGTGTACTACTGTCTGCAGGTGTAAGGTAACTGCAGACCTCACACTGACTGGAAGGACAACCTGCTCAGCTCAGTGTGAAAAGTGCAGTGCAAGCATCAATGCCGCATTCAGGCCCTGCATGCTGCACCATTACAGTGATGTCCTGGGATACTTGGACCTTCACAATGCTGCCCCTGCTGACCTTGTGCTTCAGGAATGTGAACTCATCGTGGGTTGCCTCAGCTGCTCCCAGGACGGTCCTGTGCAGGTGATGAAACACCGCGCACCTGTCACAGATTGCCACCATAAACTGTATGTCTCGATGAGCCCTGAGCTTCTCTGAAATATCTCTGTTGTCTTTCATTTTCTGCAGAACCTTTCCTATGGTCAAACAAAGGAGTTTAATTGTGAACACTGCCACAGCAAACTCAGTATTCTGGCTGAGAGCACAAGATTCCAGTATATTCAGCCACGCACCAACAAAACAGGTCAGAGCTCACCTACATTTGCAGGGCTCAGCAAAGATTTAAGATCTTACAACAAACAGCCACAGTTGGCTGTCTGACTCATGTTACTTCATATTAATATTTCAAAAGCTACACAGTGCGTTCAAACCATTAAATATTAGCATTTATACATATACAAAATGATGATTATTTTTACCTTGTGCAGGTCCAAGTGCTTGTGAGGGTAATTATAAGACAATAAGAGATCCTGCTGTGCAAAAGGGGAAGCCACTGCCAGATAAAGGAACATGCAAACATTACAAACAGAGCCATCGCTGGCTAAGGTATAATCATCACTATGTGCTATCTTATTTCATGGACGCCATGGAAGCTCCGATAGGAACATAAAGAATAGTGTCCAAGTTTTGTGCCACTGACTCCCCTCAGGTTCCCCTGCTGTGGCCGTGCTTACCCCTGTGATGTGTGCCATGACGAGGACCAAGACCACCCCATGGAACTGGCCACCAGGATGATATGTGGCTACTGTGCCAAAGAACAGGTGAGCTGTAAGGTTGTGACATAACATTGCATGCATAACATTTTAGCCTTTGAGCTTATGCTGTTATCCAGGCTGACTGTTGTCTTGATTGGTTTAGTTCATTCCTTAATTAAAAAATACCATATTTGGTTCCAACTGGAAGAATGAATGCATAAAGGCTGATGTTAGACTTTGTCTCATAATGGGAACATTTTAAAAATATTATCCCTACATTGTTTGTTGTTGTAGCCGTACAGCAGTGGAAAGGCTTGCATCACTTGTGGAAGCATGATGACAAGAGGTGCACGCACCAGCCACTGGGAGGGAGGACTGGGATGCAGAAACAAAGTCAAAATGAACAGGTACATCTAGTTTTTTTGTCAACATTACTGATGAAAAAAATATTTTATTCATTAAAAAGATTGCCATTTCTGTTAGTGGTTACAAGGTTAAGAGTTTGTTTTTTCTTTCTCTTCAGAAATGATCGACAAAAATATGCCAACACCAACAAAACTATTTCAAGGAAGGCAGCCAGTGAAAAGAAGTAGTTGGTGAAGAAGAGCATCATTGCCTTAATTAAATTAATTAAAAGACATACATTCAATGAAATTGTCTATTTTCTGCAATAAATCATGTTATGATCACTCTGTTAATTTTTTGATCTCATATTGAAAGTCTGGAAGACGTGAGTTTGTGTTAAAGGAGAAATGCAAGCAGGTCATTTGATAACATTACACAAAAATAAGTCAATTCAAGTAGCCCAGCTTTCTAATCTAGCTGTGTTGGTTAATCCTTTTATATCAGAGAAGTGCAATACTGCTTTGAATTATCTATGGACTAATAAAGCATCAGCTCATGATGTCCATATTTTATTGACAACTTTGGAGTTACAAACAGCATTCTAATAATTTCCTCCAAGCTGTACTGACACACCATTATTTGCCATGTGAACAATTCATCACCAAAAACACCAAAATAGGCAGTTGTTTTGTGGTTTAATTTTAAGATGTTGAGAAATATCCATAAAACCATTTCTACAATTCACTTTCAGTTCATTTATTTAGTATTTTTAAAAAATGCTGACCCTTGTACTGGTTGAGTCTAAACCTTATCAGTTAATTGTGTCTAATAAATGTTCTTGAATGGTTCTGCTAATCTTCTTGTAAAGGTCTACTTGTCGACATTGAGCTCCTGGGGGTGGGGGGAGCTGCTGGACTTTGCTGATTGAGAAAAAAAAAGTTCTGTGGAACTCCACTATATAAAGGCAGAACCTCGTCTTGATCCTGAGACTTACAGCAGCAGAAGCCTTCAGTGGTACAACGGCAAGATGTTGAACATCAGCGACCTGCCTCTGCAGCTCCTGCCCTCCATGCCCTCAGACCGTCTACTGCAGCCATTCTGGGATTATTTGCTTTTTCACCACCTGCCTTTCATCTCATCTCCCTTTTTCCCAGTCCTACTCACTTTCTCCAGCTATTTCTTTTTCAGTTTACCTTTTGCTGCACTGGACCTTTTGGGAGAAAGAGTGCCTTTATTCTATCAGTACAAGATCCAACCAGACAGGCAGCCAACATTGGGGATGATGGCTAAGAGCTTCATGACAACGCTGTATAACCACATATTCTTTGTTCTCCCAGCTGTAATAATGAGCGTATTCATCCTGCCTACACCAACACTGCCACAGGATGCTCCTACTCTATATGAGGTATTCACTGGCGGTCTGGCTGTGCTTCTCCTCTTTGACACTCAGTACTATATTTGGCATTTCATACATCACAAGCACCCACAGCTTTACCGGTGGATCCATGCAATCCACCATCAGTACATGGCACCTTTCTCTTGGTTAGCCGAGCACTTAAGCATCCCAGAGTTGATGACTGTTGGATTCTTGAGCAACCAGGACCCAATTAATTTAAAGTGCCACCCACTGACCTCTTGGTGCATCACCATTTTTAGTACCTGGATGTCTGTGGAGGACCACATAGGCTATGACCTTCCATGGACCCTCAACCACCTGGTGCCTTTTGGTCTGCTAGGCGGTGCACCGGCTCATGACATGCACCACCGGAAGCCAAACGGCAACTACGCTCCTTTCTTCAGCCACTGGGACAAAATTTTTGGCACTGCCGTTCCTCTGGAGAAAAAGACTATGAGAAAATAATGACAAGTGAATGCAATACTGCATGTTTAGTGTTTTTTCTTCTGAAGTTGTCACAATTATTTGTCTTTGCCTTTGTGAAATACATTAGGGTGAGGGTGCTTTCTCAATGGACTCACTTTATGTAATACAATATAAGTCTGCAATATTAGTATTTTTTAGGTCTTTTCATTCAATAAAACTATCTTGTTTACAAACATTCTCTCATTATTGTTTCTATTGGTGTTAGAAATGTTGGAATAAGTCATATAAATGTTGACACAATCAGTACATTATTCTCCATGCATGTCATGTGTGCATAATCACACTTCATTCATGTCATTCGAGTGAAGTAATTACCGTAAGAAGTTCCTGTGCTTCTTTTCCTCACAATCTTGTTATATAACACGAAATCTTTGAGCAATACTCAGCAGTATTTTGCCTACAAATTCCCTCGACAAATAAGGAGCTTTTCAAGAAAATCTTGTCACCAAGAGGTCAGGTTCAACAGATTATTAACAGATTAATGTTAACCCATACTTGAGTGCTGAGCTTTGATAGTCAACTTTTTTCAAAACACAAATACAATGGAAGTTAATTAGAAAACCCTTCAAATCCACTGATCCATTGAACACCTTGTTCAAGGGTGGCTGTGGCTCAGGAAGTAGAGTGGGTCATCTAGTAATCACAAGGTTGGTGATTCAATCCTGGCTCCTCCCCACTGCATGTCAAAGTAGAGCAAGACACTGAACCTAAAATTGCTCCTGATGCTGTACATCAATGTGTGAATATGAGTTAGTTTCTGTTTGATGGGCTTTGCCATTACTGTAGTACTATAGTATACAAGTACAGTCCGTTTACCATACACTCACATAGAAACTGGTATGCTGGTCGCAGGCATGTAATGAAGCCTTTGGTACCATCGCCATGGCAACCCTTCATTACTTCTCTTCACTGGAAACTTAGGATGGGGCTATTCCTTCAAAACAAAGTCCCTATATAATAAGTATCTTAACAGGAACCTACAGATATATTTAATTTTTCGAAATAATTTCACAAACATAATTGTATCTTCTCTCTCTCTCTCTCTCTCCAGATACAAACCAAGTATTCAGGCACACTCAAAATTTCTTGAGAAATGTTTGTAACTGAATTGAATCATTCTAAAATAACAGACAAACTTTATTTGAATATATTTATTTGTTACGTAAAATAAAAAAAATGAAACGATATAAAAGTTTAGTGAAGACTCTTATTTAAATACTGCACAAACATGTTGGAAATGTGTCCGGTGTTCTCCGTTGGGTGCATCTTGGTGTAGCTGATGAACTGGCGCCGTAACTTCCTCAGCTCTGCCATGTTGACGCTCCTCGTGAGCTCAATGTTAAACATCAGGTTAAGGTCATTAAACTGCAAGCTTTTCTGCATGAAAACTGATCTCACATGAAGACAGAGAAAATTGTCTCATGTTTTGTATGTTTCACGCACGGCTGAAGGCTGAATAAGTGATAATTAACTAGGGCTGCACAATTAATCGAAATATTATCGAAATCACAATATGGTTAAGTGCAATATCCAATTGCAGAAGCTGTAATTTTTTGTTTAGGGTAAAATGTGTGACAAAACAGCATTATGATGTACTGTAGTGGTGCCTGGCCTACAAACCTTGTTCTCCAGATTTAAGTTAACATGTTTGTTTGGTACAGACCCCAGAAAATGATGATAGTTCTTACACTAATCGTGAACCTATTGCAATATCTGTCAAAATAATTGCAATGTTATATGCAGCCCTATAACAAACTGACTAAAAGTATCTAAAGGTCACAGCATCATATCTCAACCTTTAAGGAGAGCAACACAATGAAGTAACACAAAGAACTGAACGTTACTGACGCAACCTCAAATTCAAATTATGCACTGGTCATTAAAGGTTGTCTGTGCACAACCTAATGTACTTTTAATTTGCCTGGACCAACACGTTCAAAAGGAGATAATCAAAGTGCTTGCTTCTGAGAATCTCTGAAATAGTGCAGCCGTCAATAAAAATCCACTTATCTATGTAATTTGGTTTCTCTCCTCCATACGTATCCCGCAGTATTTTATTACAGGCAAGACATTTAACAGTGATTGGCTGCTGTGCCTTTCATTTAATCTCTTTGATGGGCATGCATTCATCCAACTCCCCCCTTCTAACAAGTCATTTGATGTGGTGTACTTTGCCTCCTGCTGGTGAGATAATATAACTTTTCTTAGTAGGTAGATGATGAAAATGAGTCAGCACAATTTAAAAGGGCAATAAAAATTTTAGGCGTCCGTTGGCTGTGAAAGAACACTACTGGCTTGGATGTGTGCGTCAACACCATGAAAACAGGACACCTAATCTGTTTAATATGAAAGGATTCTTCAAAATTTGGTTCTAATTAAAACATATGGACATGTAAATGTGTAAAAAGGATATCTTTTCTGTAGCTCCTGGGACTGAAATGAGATCCCCGGGAACACTTGTCTTCTGTGCATTAAAAATTGCCTGAAAAATAATTAAATTGCTTTATCACACACATTGCATACACAGGATAATGTTTCTGCTTAATACTTCAATGAAATGGACTGATAAAACAAAATTATAAACGTGCATTTATAGGGAATCTGTGCAGAAAATTGTTTTAAAAGGATGAAAGTGCAAGAATAAAAACATTACTGTCCATTCAACCTTTTGTACAGGTTTACTCAATAGCTTATTAAGGGAACAAAGCAGGTGATTTGTTACTGTCTAACCGCAATTAGCAGACACAACCCATCACAAAGACACATCAATAGGTAGATAAATAATTACAGGAGCAAAGGCATTTACAAAACAACATTCCAATAATGGAGGAAACCTTGACGTCAGCTCTATACAGAGGGAGGACACACACACAGGTGAGTGCCAAGCATTAGGGGAAAAAACATCTTATCAAGTGTAGCACAAATCAAAATAATTACATTCTTCACTTGGCTGAGGTATAAAGCACTAAACATGTCTGGTGGACATAATGACAAAAAGATCTAACGACATCACTAGTTTCTTCCCATTACACCATTGTGAAGCTGGTTGGAAAAGAATAGAAAAGTCAATAATTTTACCGGTTGTGTCACTTAGGAAAGAAGCACCAATATAAACATCACATGTAATTAAATTAATAGAGCTTTGCAGTAGTTCAGACATGCATGGAAGTCATTTATAGTCACATGTCCCATAAAACCTCAAATCAGGCAGTCCATATAAACATGTGCTGCTAATTCAGTATGCATACAACTATGCTGAGCCTGCTTCCAGACATTTTAGTCCCTCCACCACCAGCCTCCTCTCGCATTAGGATTTAGTCTTGAATGTTTTCAACATGTGTTCATGTAGAATAAATGTTGTGTACCACAGGCTCTGCCAGAACAGTTGTGAGCTCAGGGACAAGCTTGCTCAGAGTTGTTCTTAAGATGCATAAAATAAATATAAAATACTGTTATATAACACCTTCCACTTCCCAAACTGTAATTATTAGCCTAGCTATTGACACTATTTGATGCCTTGTGTCTGTTAATCGCTATCTGCCAATAAGTAGTCACTCACTCTGTTCCCTTGACTTGCTATTCAGGTCACATTTACGTCACATTTACGTCACAAGGGATGGATAGTAGATTACCGTGATTACAATCTACAAAGGTTCACGTCATTAGACAACTCAAGGGGTTTGAATGATTGATTGAACGAGGAGTTGGTTGCATCAGGGTTAAAAATACTGTCCATTGGCAATATATTACTATGTCAATTAAGTGTGACGGTCATGTTTGTTCGGTTTTTAAGAATTTCCCTATCATTAAGTGCCAAGCCAGATGTATCACCGTGGACGTTGGCATGAACCCTATTTACAAGTTGGATATACCATGAACGCGGCTATAAATAACTGCATTACCTTTCTAGGCACTGAAGAAAGTCTACGATGTGGAGTAATATGTTTGCACTGTTGAACAGGTGCTTTGTGAATGGATGTTTCGGCATATATGACTTCTCAGTACACTGTATTTTTAAAGAACAAATGAAGACATACCATTAACACATCTTGTGTGATCTTGTCCAACTCGTACAAGAAATTTGCAGATGACAATGGTTGCTGCAGAGAAAAAGAATATCACTATTAACATCAGAGAGTCAAAAGAGCGCGAAGCATACTTCATACTACATACTTCTACTGTATATTGTACCGCTTGTGTATGTCTCTTACACTCTGTGTGGACTGGTTGGGTGGGGGTGCTTTTCTTTTGAAAAGTGCGTCAGAGATGGCTTCATATGGAAGTGTGTCGTCTTCCAGGATGCTGAAGAGGGGACTGTCCCATCGGTTTCTGGAGTCTGGAGCTTCAAATCTCAGCACCAATGCATCAAAGCTACAACAGACAAACCAGATTGGTTTGTCCAAAACTGGACAGTTCATTTTTGACAATGACGTTCATTAAGGTATTGTTTAATCCAAAAGGTTAAAACCAGAGATTGAAATGCACCTCTGATTCTCACTCACATCTCCTGAGTGTACTGCTCCGCAGCCTCTCTGCTGGTGTTCCATGTTGAACTCACTTGCTCTGACGTCAAACAGTATACCTTCATCAAAAGAAAGCATATGATTTTGACTGTGAATAGTGTTTGGGTAATAGTTTTTTTTTTAGATAATCAGGAATCCATTAGTTATCTCTCTAGTATACATACCAGGCAGTGCGGTGTCTGTGTGTGTTTGATGAGACAGAACAGTTCATAGCGGTAGCCTGTAAAGTATTTCAACTTTAAAGGTAAAAGAGTAAACAATTAATAATGTCTGTATGCTAGCATACCACTGGTAGCCAGATTTACCTTTTATGTAATTTAATGAATCCAAAATTACAATGTGATCCTTGTTGACTGTCCTAAAGAACAAATAAATAAAAGGTTAAAAGGGCTCAGAGACAGAACATGAACATGATGAATCTTTTCCAAAAACAGATATGGAAAAACCCACCTCTCTACTTGAGCTTTCAGAGATGCTCTGACATTTTTTTCCTTTTGGGAATCTGAAACATATCCAACAGCCTTAAATTACAGCAAGAGAATGCAAAGGTCAGAGGTTACTTCCCACGAAACCATTCTTCGTTGAGACTGTTTAGCAAATTATTTGCAAATAACATATTCCCATAAAACAATTAATCTACCAATTATTTTCTTAATTGACTGATTTATTGTTTAATTTATAAACAGTAAAAAATGCCATTCACAATTTCTCAGACCCAAGTTGACAGCTTTTCTGTTTGTATACTGTAGAGTAGTAAAGCAGCTAATTTTCACAATTTAACTGGCTTTTTTGCTTGTGAAGTAATCAAAATTGTTGGCAATTAATTCTATTTTTTTTATCAAATAACTGATTATTGGGCTTATTTTTAACGCTTTAATTACTAAAAAAAAATCTAAAACGTTTTAGCTGCTGATGTCTGAGTGATGTATAGCAGTATAACCGGTATGAAAACGATAAAACTACGGTTTCTTTTTTATTGACATGTGAGATGGTTTAATAGGAAAAGCCTCAATCATACTGTAGGACAGTGAGGAGACTCGCACGCCAAACTCCATTCAAAATACCATTAATTTAATGCTGCCCCAAACCATCAATAAACACAAATTCACCGTAGTCACAGTCAAGTCTTTTTAGCATTTTCCAGCAAACACTGAAACGCTACAAATATACGTCTATTTTAAACACAGGTCGTCTTTTTGTCAACCTGCTTCCCCTGTCAATTATCCCATCTCTTCCCCTGTCAATCATCCCATCTCTTCCCCTGTCAACTCATAGTCAGTTCAGAGCTGCTCACCCAGGAGGGTCAAATACTGCTGTTGAACTGACAAATATAAACGGTTTGGTGGATAGCTAACACTTTCCAATGACTATTGAATGTTCAGAAAGCCTTACCAGCAACAAACACGTAGTTAATAAGACATGGTTAGCTGAACTTGCCTGCGTAAACAGTGTTTTTGTCAACGTCCAGAGCTCCGTCAGCCACAATATGAACCTTTCGGTCCGTGTTCTGTTCAAAATACAACTTCAGTTCTTCTGCCCGTCGTGTTTTACCACTACAGGGGTAACCACACATCACTATTAGAGGCATATCTACTGTGTGTTGTCAAACAGAGTAGACTAACATGAGCTTGAAAAGCATGTTCATCTTCTTCCTCCTTCTTCTTCTTCGGGTCTTAATGGGGGTTGACAAACCAGCGTATAGGTGCATTACCGCCACCTACTGGTTGGAGCAGTGGATCGACAGGAAAACAACAAAAACCAAAGAAAACTAAATAACTTTTTTTTATTATTGTAAATAATTAACTACAACGACTTTCCATGATTTCTTTCCATTCTCCAATGTAATATTATATCCCGCATCTAATGCTGATTGATTATAATGTTGATTCACTCCGTTCTTGATCATATTTGCTGCAGTGAAAATGCAGAGAAGAAAATACGATTCCTTCAAACATCAACAGGAGGCGCAACAACGCTAATAGAGAATTACTAAACTGGGGTCTAGAATATTAAAGGTTTTACATTACAACATTTGGAAGTTGGAACCAAGGTTATTATAGTTAACTAAAACTAAACTAAAACTAGGTGTGAAAAAAAACTTTTAGTAAACTGAAATACAAATAAAAACTAGACTTTAGAAAAAACAACCGAAACTGAAATAAAATAAAAAATATGTAGCACTTCTTTAATTTTAGTCTTTAAAGTCAATTTTGTCAAATTTGTCAACACAACAAGGGGATGTTTACATGACTATGAATCGATTGCCTTCACAAAGTGCGGCATTTGTATTGTAATATCTATTATTCTAATCTTAGTGTTTTAAAAAATTCAACTACTAAAACTATTAACAACTAAACTTAAATGTGCAATGCCACTCTGGAAATTAACTGAAACTAAACTGGAATGGAAACAAAAATTCATTATTCTATAATATTTAAAATGACGAGGGACATCTGGTCTGGCTTTCAGTACTTGTTTATTTACATAAATACCAGGTTCAAATAACTGGACCCAAGAATGAAGCAGTGCAAACTGGCACCACACTGTCATATACAATGTAACATATCACATTAAAAAAAACATTAACATAAGAAGATTTTGAAACTCTCCTCTTCATCAGTAGGATTTCATATTGTCACTGTAGCAAATGTTCCTCAAGCAGGATCCCCTCCTTCTCTAAATGGATGGGGGGAAAAAATGCCAGTTGTACAATAACAACAACAACAAAAACAACAACAACAATAACAACAATAATAATACTAACTTACATGTCCAATGCCTGTTTCCGTTGTGTCAGTTGGGCAGTTTTCAGCATCCGAATGAGCAGTGCCTGCAGGTCTTCCTCTCGGTACAGAGGGCTAACAGCTCTGACTTCAGTGGGAACATTCACATCTTCAAAGGATGACTCCATTAAGGAGCTATCCACAACACTTTTCTTGCCCATGAAATGCCCTTAAATTAACACAAAACACAGCCTCAATATAAACTGTCAAAACCAGCACACAAACACGAAATGGTTCATCAGAACAGTGTCGTCTCTTTTACCTGTTGCCCACAGATTCCCCCTCGGATTCACCTTGATCTTTGAAACTTTATTTCTCAGCTCAGTTAAATCGAGACTCATTGAAGATGTCATGGCTACGTATGAGAGAAGGATGAAAGAAAACAGGAATCCTGCCCTGCAGATCTTTGTCAAAGTGCCTTTCATTCCTCAAGCGCGTTGTACTCAATTTGATGCCGGTTAATTCGCTGCTCTTCTGCTACTTTGGGGACAGGCAGTTATACTGCGATAGGATGGGCTTAATATTCTAATGGGATGAAGTCATCCATCTGTGGTTGGTTTCTTATTGGATGAACGATGCACATTAGAGTTCCTTGTGCCATTCTGACTTGCTATGACGATTGTAAAGTGTGTGACCTCAATGCAAAACCCGTTATTATGACATCCAAATACTGTTAAATACTTTCCTCTCCTACATCCAGTACATCAATACACAATTCAGAGTGTAACACAAGACAAACCAGATATATAATTAAATGCACCAATTTATTTGTAAGTAATTTACGTAAACATTACAGCAAGGCACAGGGGCCACTGCATGCTGAACAGATGTAATGGCTTAAGAAATGTTGTGAATCAAGGGTTCATTGGCTACTGTATGTACATAGGTTACTTTACTAAACGAGTCCTTACTGTTCACAAGTATCAAAAGTACAAATATCTTTCAACAAGCTTTACAAAAGAGCAAGTCATGAACAAGCCATTCATTTCTGCCTCTGCAGTTTAACAGCTGCAGTGCAGTGATATAAGGACTTAAGATAACAGAGAAAGAAAAGAGCTCATATAGCACTTAAATAGAAAAGTTCACTTGCCAAGTCAAGTCAATATGACTATATATTTTTTTTTTTCACTCCCAAAGTAATTTATAAAATTTAATAATGTGGGATAATACACATTTACTAATTTTTTACATTGCACTGAGATTACCTGCAACTCCTCAAATACTTTCATCGTTTAACAATCACTGCCATTAACCATGGAGGTAGGAACTGTCACGTATTCTATTCAAAACAAGAAGTGCTGCTTTACGAATCAAGACCTGCAAACAAGAAGTTCACATCCTTATGAGCACTGATCTAAGAAATGTCTTTCCCTCTGAAGTCATCATGGATAAAATCAATTCCTTTGATCCTACTAGTATTATTATTATGAAGAGTGGCTTAATGTTAACAGGTCCTGATTTGTAAAACATTATCTCTGGTATGCCGTCAAACTTCACGTTCACGCATGCTCTGGATTATCCAAAACAATGTACCCTGACTTGACATGTCCACTTGCCGGAAATATACACTTCTGGCAATTTGAGGTATTTTCAATACTGCTGCACCACACATCCAATACCTCTCCATGTTTTCCCCTGAACACTCATTCAAAAAGAAAATAATAACTAATTATCTGGGCTAAAACATGCACCCATAAAACAAAACATGTTCAATAAGCATAAAAACAAAAGCATTTCAGAATGCTTAAATAGTCAAAAGAAGGTCTTGTTATTAGGTGTAGCCTAAATTCAATAGGCTTCGCTCAGCAAGACAACTCACAGGATAGCTTTTCAAATAACAGTTTACCAATAATGCAGAAATTCGGCTTTCAAATGACTACTGAAATATACTTTCTGTTGTAATAAACTGTGACTACAATTCTTGATGTACTGCAAATTAACTGCAACGCAGTCATGGCATAAAATCTGAATCCCATTCAGGCAATAGTGTGTAGTATTAAATACTTCAGACAACATTTAAGAAATTAAAATTAACGTGAATACAAAAGTAAAAAACCCAGCCCTTCACTGTTATATCAATCAATACCAGACCTAAAAACTAACAGACCTGAGTCTCCTGTCAGGGTGGTTTCTATCTAAAGAAAGAAAGATAGAAAGAAAAATCTTCATCTGTAATATGTGTGCAGGTGTGTCTGAAAGGCAAGATGAATACATTACCAACATGCAAGTTAAATAAAAACAATGGTAAAATGAAAATCAATTTGTCCTCTCATTTACAAAAATACTGACTTTACTAAATGTTACTGGTTGAATATAGTGCACAAACTCTGGATAACTTTCTAAATTCAAGGCCCAAACACTTTGTACCACCTCTAAGCAGAACATCAAGCATCCCTTGTTACTTTCACATGAAAACTGAAGATATTAAAGCAGCTTTAAAGACGTGTTGAGGTGGCTCTCACTACCGGAGAGAGACTGCTTGTGTCTGAGAGTGAGTGCTCAGTTTTAAATTACAGTCGGCGGTCTTGTCACAGTGCAGGCTTGTTGGCTCTTCTGCCTGCGATGGCTCATGTTCATTTAGCTCCGGTAACAAGCCGTTTATCTCATCAGTATCTGTTGATCTAACTGGCTGGTTATCCTGCTCCTTCTCCCTAACCTCTGCCTCCTCCTCTTCTTCTCCTTCTTCTTCTTGTTTCTCCTCTTCTTTGACTTTGTGTACAATGAAAAGATGTCTATTGAGAGACAGCACAGACGTGAAACACAGGCCACAGTGAAGGCACTGAGGAGTGTTTTCATCCGTTTTATGTTGTGGTATATGCTGCTTGAACTGCGTGCTGTCGTCTGTGATGAAACCACACTTCGAACAGCGGAACTGTGTTTTCAGACGCTTCGCTGAAGGAGCCTCGCGACTGAAAGTGTGATCCCGCCTCTCCTCCTGTGTGTCCTTGTTTTCTGTTACAAGCCCCTGAAAAATCACAGAAGTCACACACTTTATAAAATGATGACTAGTAAGGTTTGTAACACTTGTATTTGTGCCTGCAGTTATTATTTTGTTATTTGAGTTAAAAAATAAACAAATAAATTACCTTGCCCGTAGCCTTTTTTGATTCCTGGATGGCGGTTTTCGGCATTTGGCTGAGATCAGGATTTTTGATTCCATGCATTAGACTGATGTGGTTCTTCAACATCACACTCGTCTTAAATATTGTCTCCGTGTTATCTGTGCAATACCTGAAGTGTGAAATAAAAAGAAAGTAAGGGAAGTGGAATTGAAGGATTTCCTGGTTCATTTCATAAAACACTCATAAAAATCTTACCAACAAGTGTACATTTTCTTTTTTCCATCGTGGTCATTGCGTATATGTCGCCTCAGACTGGTTGTTGAGTTGAAAGACTGCTCACAGTGTCGACACGGATACTTCTTCACTGACTGTCGAAAAAAATGAAAAATTCAAAATAAAAAAAAGTCCATTAAAAAAAAGAAAAGTCTGACAATACAAGCTTGACAAATTCTATTTAACTCGAGTTATAAGGTCATCATGCACGTGTAATGAGCTCATTATCTACACACAATTATTACTTTATGACTTAAGATAATTATAGCCTCAGCTCAAGTCACGCTGAAAGTGCAGCTGACTAATGGCTGGCATTGGTTCCAGTGTACATGGCATTCTGGCTATAAACAAGCATTCAGCTTCGCCCCTCCCTGGATAGACAGCATTTAACTAGGGGTTTAAGAATCTTTAAACATCTTTTTGCGAATAACTCATTTATCTCTATTTGATTTTTTTTTTTTAGATATTTAGAAGCTTGAAGTTTTGCCATGAAACATTATATGACATATAATTCCTGTTCCTCCCAACAAACTGCCCTCCAGAGGACTGCTTAAGGCCTGGCGCAAACCTTAAAGGGAGTATTTCAGAACTACATGATGTAATTCAACACATCAATCCTCCAACACTGACCAAGACAAAGGCTGCCTGGCAAACAAGATCATAAGGTGGCTATCCCATCTGGGGCGCCATTTGGGATCTCATTATTAGTCGCATTCATTGCTCATCCATTTGCATTCGCCATCGCTTGTTACAGTTCAAAGTTACACATCGTCTACTAAAGCTAAACCCTCCAAAATCATCTCCATATGTCCTAGATGTCACCAGTCACGAGCGGCGATGGGTCATATGTTCTGGTCATATAACTCATGAAGTTATTTCTGGACCTCTATATTTCAAGTGTACTCATACATCTGTAACAGAACAATAGATCACAGTTCATACATGGCAATATTTGGTGTACCATCAACAGAATATAGTATCGCTTTATATCACTTAAATGTTGAAGCACTCACCGCACTGTTTGCGCGACGATTAATTCTAACTAGATGGAAGGCTACCAGCCCCCTCCCTTTATACTATGGATCAAGAAAGTCATGTTGTGTTTCCAAATGAAGAAGCTGAGATACACTCTGAATGGATCACTTAAAAGATACAAGTATGTGGAGAATCTTTCCCAGCTGTCTGATACTGAACTTTATATAGGAGATTATTATTATTTAACAATATTAATACTGTATTTAAGTTGAAAGCCATATATTAATTCAACACAAATTAACTATTACAATACTGTAGTTTCCGTTCTGGAATCTGGACTGATTTTTATTATAATTAAATGCTAACTAAATGTTGCAGCAGAGTGAGCCACCCTATTTCACACTTCACATAAGTAGTTTATTACAAGTGAGCCAAGATGTACATTTAAAAAAACATTTTAGTGCACTTAAGCCATTGATATTTTTGTTGAACACACAGACATGTGCATGGCGAATTCATGATTTCTCACCTTTCCGTGGTTGGTCTTCACATGAGAAACATAGGAGTCTCGCTCAGGGAACCACTGGAGACACTCCCCACACGTCCAGCCGGTGGGCTTCACACGTGTTCTGCTGTCCTGCTCAGCCTTTTTTCTGGGACTATCTGTGTGTTTTGCGGAGCTGCAACTCTTCTGTTGTTGGACGGAATGAGATTCCTGGTGCCAGTCAGTATTTTCAGTTTCTGTTTGTTTACTGCCGTTCTCGGTCTCTGCTGTCGTGTTTCCTACATGAACGCCCTGCAAAACAGAAAATACATGGCTTAACCTCTCCTCCGTGTTAATGATGATGTGAAGCAGGTCACAAGTTATTTAAAACAGACTAACTCATCATTTACTCAACAACTACTCTTTTTCCAGTGTAGTTAAACTACAAGAAACTTAAACAGTGTATCTGTATTGTGTGACTTAATCATTGATTGATGTCTCTGCATCATGTGCAGGGTTTTGTAGAATAGAGACAAAAGCTAACATAGCACAGCAGCAGCTGCAATTTGCTTGATAAGTTTAATAATGCTGCCAAAAAAACTCATTAAGTGTTAAATGTCACTTTTTGCACAATTTGAATTATTTTAGCATGCAAGTTTTAAGTATCAAATAAGTAACCAGGTATGTGGATACGTATATAAACTAAATACACAATGAAATCCAACCCAGAGAGTTTATTTGAAATTGACACACATAAACAATATCTCTTCATAAAAACACAATCAGGGCTAACCTTGAAGTGCTGCATTAATAGCTGTTTTTGTGGGAAGACGGAGTTGCATTCTGGACACTTGAACACACTAGTAACACGCTTGAGGGCATTCTGATAGAAATGCTGAAGCAGTAACTGCTTCTTCTTGAAAACCATCTCACATGAACACTTAAAGATTAACCTGCAAAAGAAAGAGAAAACCGTTAAAAAGAATTGTAAAAAAGAAATGTACCACTTTTAACAACCAGGTCATGAGATGTTGACTTACTGAGGGGATATTTTACTAGCACTGTGTTTGTTTTTGAAATGCTCTTCACAGCTGTCAGCGGTCTTGAAGGCAACTGGACAGATGGAACATTTGTAAAAGACTTCACTGTGTTTCTCCTCAAAGTGGGTCTTTTGTCCTTGAAGGGTCTTGAAAACCATCTCACAGTGAAGACATCTGGAGGAAAAGGAAACATGATGACACTTTTCTGTACCACCGCACTGTATGTTTTTAATAAGGTCGGCGTTTCATGCTTGCTTACTCACTTGTACCAAGCCTTGCGAGCGTAGTGCAGACAGTTTTCCTTGACATGCTTCTGTATGTCTGCAGAACGACTCAGGGCACCACACTCAGGGCAGCAGTAAGGGGACTTGTGTGCATGAATGCGTTCATGAGCTCTGAAGCTGCACTTGTTGGGTAACAACATGGAGCACGGCTTACACATCTGTTTTATTTTTTTTTAATGAGAGAAAACAAAAGAGAAAGAGAAAAATCAAAAAAGACTAATGTGAAACGTAAAAAATACTACATAAATACTAGTGACAGTGCTTTTCTGCTGATATTCTATATTTGTTATTGTCAACAAATGCCACGAAAAGACCAAAACCAACAATGAATTGTATGTAATTGTATGAATTGTATTCTCAGACTATCCAAAACCTGATACAGCCTATCCCTCTGTACTGTAGACCTCAAATAATGTACAAAAACTATTTATACGTTCTGTAATTTGTTGTGAGTCAATCGAATAATTCAGTGTGGTTTGGTGTTTTGGACATTTTCTTTCTTTTTATAGAGGAATAACAATACATATATGAATATGTTGTACATTCAGTGCTTAGGAATTTAGTGTATATTAATATATATATATAAAAATAATGTGTTCATTACAATGAATGCTTTTCACAGTAACAAATTATATATTTTTTTTTTTACTAATTTCTACTTTTGATTTTATGTTTATGGGGAACCCATGGAAGGGGGGGTGCTAGTTAATGGGGCATCACCAATAAAATCCCAAATCCAACATACTCTATTCTGCTGCTGTAAAAACACTCACAAGAGCATAAATGTGTATTCGATCCTCAGCTAATCTCCAAAAATGCCACTATACACTCCCATTTAAGTATTGGTGTGAGAGATGACTTTCCCTCTGGATAAATAAAGTACTTATCTAATCTATTATCTATCTATCTTGATCTATCTATCTATCTATCTATCGCATTGTTGATTTTTTCATTGGATTTCTTGACAATAACACAAATACACAATATTGGCCGCCTTATCCCAAAATATTTCAATAAAACATCTACGCACTAGTCCTTCCACATCTTCTGACGCCCTCTGGTAATGGCCTGCAAGTGCTTTGTAGTCAGGTAACTGCTTGTTACACTCCAGGCAACGGAGTCGGTGGCGAATGACATTATCTGGATATAGGGGGAGGACAGGTTGGTTTTTAGATGAGGGTGATGGTGAGCTGTAAGAGTCCGTGTTCACAGGTTCAGTACTCAGGGGTGCAAACATTTGCTCCTCTGCTATGGGTTTCATCTGGAGCTGCGTGCACTGCATCACCATGCCGTTGTTCTTGTGCTCTCGTGCATGTGCCAACAAGGCACACTTGTTGTAGAACACCATCGTCTTTGCACAGTGCGTACATCCTACTTCAATGTGAACACTCCTCCTGCTGTAATGATGCGCAAGACTCCTCTCCACCCCGAAGGAGTCCCCGCACTCGAGGCAGCAGTAACCGCGCGGTGGGAGGTTGATATTGCTCTCTGGAGGGGGGTTTAGGTTGGGCACATATGTAGGCACAGGGTTGCCACTGTTCAACAGTCTGTTTAAGGTTCCGGCTGCTGTGTTGGGAGTGGATGTGTGAGGGTAGGGTTTGGCTGTTTTGACCTGATGCACCAGCGGGACAGTGCTGTACACCGTAGATGAGAGTGTATGTTGGCTTTGCTGATGAGAGGTGGACCGTGCCGCTACTGAAGCGGCAACACTGTGAGGGACCAGGTTCAGACTAGCTAAGTGCATTGCTTTGGGAAGGAAGTTTGTGCTAGCTGTACCGCCTGCTGTGGCTGATCCTCTCTTTGGTTTCTGCCCCTTACGTGCAACAGATCGTTTGACCGGACCACTAGTATTATGGAATACTGTTGCGGACTGCGTTGTGCCTGACCTCCGGGAGTTAGCTTCTGATTTGTTGTGTAAAACCTTCGGTGAAAATGTACTAGCTGGGGTCACTTTAGTTTGTATTCCAACAATGCTATCAACAGCAGCACTTTGAGACTGATGGGGAGACATATAACAGTAAGAATCTTCACTAATCATACTCTGTGCTGGAGAAGATTCATATGCTGAATGAACTTCATCTGTTTCTGAATCAGGCAGCACACTGGTGACGGTGCGCTGGATCTGCCCAGACGTAGTTTTGATGGTCTTTATTCTGACCCTGGGTATGGCAGGGGGTGACCCAGATGCCACTGCAGGGGATGCTTTGCCACTACTGTCACTGCAGATGCTTACAGGGCTATCGGAGGGTTTCATTAACCGTTTCACAGCTTCAAGTGGACTTCTGGGGCTTCGTGGGGAAATAGGCACGTTGGGGTTTGCTTTCGTGCAGTCATTTTGAACAGCTGATGACTCTCTGGGGTCTTTTCTAGCATTCAGAGCCACCAGAGCCTCAAGACAAGAGGATAATTTAGATGACTGATATTTTACATATGCATAATGAGAATTAATATCTGTTGAAGTTCCCGAATTGCGGTTGTTCTCAATAAGGTTCTGGCTATCGCTGGGCGAGGGAAGTGCACTGTGTGTTCTAGGTGTTGTATCCTTTTCGTTGCTGACACAGATGTCAGAGGGCTCCTCACTTCTAATACTTTCTACTCTGCTGCTCTGGGTGTTCTTGGGAATATCAGAGTCCTTTGGACAATCATCAAACATGCTGAAGTCCAGCTTTTTTTGATTATCTGGGACTGAAGGCTCCAACAGAACTGAAGCATCTGGGAAACAGGGTTTCTCTTTTGGATGCATTTCATCTCTACTACACTGAGTGTCTTCAGACTCGGGACTGGAGATGGGACTAAAATGAGAAAGCTGTGAAAACACTGGTGTTCCATCAGGTTTGTGCTGAATAGGTGCCTTTCCAAGAAGCTCTCTTGAACCATCCCCGTTCAAAGCAGAGACAAATGTTTTGGAAAAGCCAGTGTTAGTTGTCTCGACAGTGTCAATGGAGGTCTCTTGTCCCCTGAATCCATTTTGCAATGCTGGTCCAAAACCTTCCAATGACTCCTGGCGACTTGTGTTTTTCACAATAACACTTACAGCAGGAATATCTGTTGTTGTGACAGCTTGGTTACTCAGTAAGCTATCATCCAGACATATCCCTGTGTGTTTCAGCTGACTTTCTGTCTCCTCGTGACTCCCCTGGATGGGTTCTTTGGCATCCAACCCTGTGGCATCTGGGATGTCAAAGGCAGCCAGAAGATCATCAAAATCTGGGGTTTTCATGTCACCCATGGCTGTACAGGGTCATAAACCTACACAAACACATACAGAATTGGCTTAATAAGTTATCTTTCGATGTACACAGTGGGCACTGCAGGCAGAGCTTTAAGGAAGTGCTGTCGGCACAAGACAGCTGCTTTACAATCTGACTGATAACTGTGGTAATATCCTCTATGCTAACGTTACCTTTAGCTAGCAAGCTAAACGTTAACAAGGTCTGCTTGCCTTCGTCTGTGCAGCCTCTATTTTGTACAAAGGCAAGCGTTAACACACACATGAATAAGCAAATACACATTAAACACAGACTACTATGCTCCTAGCGTTGCCAAATATCATCTCCTTCATATGCCGACCCTACGTTTAAGTTGTTTTGCTGCTAGCTACACAACGGAGCCAATGCAGCATGCTAGCATCTAGCTTAGCAACATGCTATCGCGCAAATCCTTCAGCTCAGCTCGTAAACTCTTCACTTATCGATGCACATGTGCGCTTACCATTTGATCCAGTTATGTTTAACCGCTCTAGTAAATGAGCTACACAGCCATTTAACTGTGGGCGCGAACTGTGTGTGAATTAGGAAAGGGTTGGGCTGTTGCGGGGTTTCGTAGCTAGGCTACAAGCTACTAGCGTTGGTTTTCCATTTCCTCTTCGTGGGTGATTCAAGCCCTCGACGCTGTCTTGCAGACGAGAGGAGGCGCCGCGGACAGCTTGACACTACATGTCCACCCAAAAAGACAAAGGAATGCGATGTGTTATGTTCAGTGACTCAGCTGCTACAATACACACACACACACATATTGGTATGATTGTGTCTGGTAAGTAAACAGAGGCAGGTAATGATAATCAAATATAAAACATGTGCATGGCAGGAAAGATGCCATGGACCATGCCAGCAACCTGAGGGGCCCCCAGGGGGTAAAATGTTTTAGGGGCCCCTAACTCACCTCCACCAACACTGCCTTTGCAAGTGTCACTGATCAGCATTGAACTGCTTGTAACCTTGCTTTCAGTGATGGGTTGCTCGTATTATACATTCATTATAAAGCTCAGGTTGTGTTTGAAATGCCAAACTTAATTTGTCCAGTGATTTATTCTTGAACTTCCAATGAGTAGAGAGACTTGCACAAGAACTGCCAAAACTGAAGCAACAAAGGCTGCAAAATCCTGACTTTGAGTCCCTAGGTCAAGATCCAGAAACAGTGGATCATACAGTTTCATCATGCAACTCAAAAGCATCTTTCAAACGACCCACACTGCCATCTCAAGTCCAAAAGGAATGAGATGGGGAAGATACAAAGAACTTGTAAGGCTGGACATATTGTATACTTGCTTTTTACTATGTGTTTGTGTGCACATGAGGGCTGCCTCTTTGGCTTAAAGGTGCTGATAGTGTACATGCAGGGAAATACAGTAAGATTGTGTAAAATAGTGTGCATGGTCAAAATTTAAACTAAGATTTTGAAACACTGCAGATTTGGTCATTGGTCTTCAGACGCATTATGTTGTGTTCTGCTTAATATAAAGCTATTTGAAAAAATCAAGTCATAAATCAGAGTTGGATACTGATCTTAACAGCAAAACAACCCTTTGTTAGACTCAGTGTCCTCCAATCCATTGTGGCAGTCAGCACCTTAATAGTGTTTTGTTACACCTTCTCCCAAATTATAATCAGGATGTCAATAAAGTAAACCAGATATCAACTCCACTGTTTGATCTGGTCAGCAGCCTTGATCTGCTATGAATCACACTGTATTAAGGACAAAGATAAGGTATTGTTTTACTGTTTGTTTTTAATATATACACCGAGAATTTCCTGGCAAGCAGTGTTGACCGAGTCGATTTCACTTGAATGAAATAAAGTAATGTGAAACTAAATGGAGGCCTACAGGTAGTATACATTAAACTGGTACAATATTTGCCAGCTTTCCATCACGTGAAACTTCCAAACACAGACAATAAACAGGGGGCCGGCATTAAACTGGAACTTGCCCCGGATTCCCATTATGTGTCTGTGATCTGATGCGGCCCAGTAGTACTAGTCTCATTTGTGGAGGAGGGGCAGGTCCTGATTTCAGGTTCTCTGGAAGTTTCACAACCAAGGGAGTTTCTGATTTTGAAAAGTTTTTGATATCCTGTAAGACAAATATGAGGGCAATAATAATCAATATCATTCTTTCCAGTTAGTCAGGCTGTAAAGTGATGACACAAATTCCTGTTAAGTTCACAGACAGGCCTGCAGCACTTTTGGGATAAGATAAAAAAAAAACGCGTCAGTAACTGTAAACTTAACACAAGCAATGATGTAACAGGATGTAACAGCTATGTCAACTTACAGCAAGGCAACAAAGTAAATTTAGGAGGCTATTTATTTTATGTATAGTATTTTAATTTGTTAGTGAATAAAGAAGGTAGTTATGGGAGCAACGCTAAATGTGAGATATTGCATAAATTCAGTGTAATATTGCATAAATGAGGGATTTTGTATTGTGCGCATTACAACGATGAGAGTTACGTCAGTCAAAGCTTTGACTGTTACTAAATATCATATAAATTGTGAAATTGAGTCATTTAGAAAAATCTGATATAAAGTGAATGTTGTGGGTTATTAAACCAAACCAGTTAATGTTAAGCTACAACGTCTGTTATGAGGTTATTAACCTTTGATAATGAATTTCAAGGCTTTCTGAAAACTGAAAGCTGTTTATCGTATCCATCAAGACAGACTGAGCCCCCATTGAGTGTTATGAACCATGGACAAACGCCATTTTATGAGGAATCAGATTATTTGTGTGTCTGACAAGATCACAATCAAACAGCAGCAAGTAGAACAAATAGCTGCCATTATATCCAATCACTAATCATCACCCTGAAAGTAAAGTACAAATTGCACTGCAATATATTTAATGGTCCAGATAACAGCTCTACCTGTTTTGGAGACAACGTGATTCTACAGCGAATACTCAGTGTACTTATTCTTCAGAACAATCGTTTAAAGAGATTCTTATGTGACATTGTTGACTTTGATCCACAAAAGTAACTGTGTGTGTATTGTAGTACACATAGCATATAACTTCACATAGTTATAGTATCATCTTTCATAATGTGTGCTATGTTTTATGAAATTACAAGATGACTAGTTTTATCTTAAAAATAAAGTTTAAAGTTTAAAATAAGTTTATTTACTGTAGCCTGTTTAAAAATGTGAAGGAAGACTAACAGCATTTATAACTTATAGTATAATATACCAGAATGTATATCTGTAATAGAGTAACTTTAATTTTGATACAAGGGGAAACTTATCGAATCTACCACAATCTAAGTATATGTGTAAGATGTTAAATATAGTTTTTGTGCACACACAGTAAATGATGTTATTTTAGCACATTAAAATTAGAAAATAAAAGGTGCTTTTGAGTCTTCATCATCATGTTGTTGAGTCACAGGCTTCTGAGAAACCTATTTTTAGAAACTCTAACTCTTGTTTGAAAATAAGAGCTCAAAGCATGACTTTTTATGACTTACTTAGGTGCATGGGTGGAGCACCATAAACTCATTCATGATTATTCCACTATGTATTCCCCTGTATTGTCACATATCAGTGAATGTATATTATTATATCTGTCAACAAGAATTCACATCTTATCATCTGTTGCACAAGGGATTTGGTGAACATGGTAAACTTCACGTCCAATCAAAGGTTGCTTCATAAGGTCTATTAAATCATTCATGTTGCATTAGCACACTTATGCTTACGTCCTGTATTTCCTGAAGCAGATCAGAGTGCTCCGTAACCTGTCTGTTAATTAATGATAAGACGCTTCATAAAGGACACAGTATTTTTTCCCGCAGTGTTTCTTTCACAGCACTTGGCAGTCGGGTTTAGGAGGACGCACAATGAGTAAGCCATTAGCTCTGCTTTTTCTTGAATAAAGCTGTTTGTTTTGCAGTATTTTTGAATGCCATTCTTTACAAGCTAAGCCACAAGGACTCTTGTGTGGACTTATTTTAAGGTTCTTTTATCTCACAGTGTACATAGAAACACAGCTTGTCACTTGTTTTGCATTCCTGGTTGTTGAAGTTGAAGCTGCTTTCCCAAAGGCTGCTGCACAGAAGTGAAAAATGATTGTGTTTTTCAGCGGAAACCAACGGTGTTCAGCTCAAAAATATAACCCATGCCAACGGAAATGGCGTGGACAACCAGGCTTTTGAAATCGAGGTATGTATTACATAGGCTATAATTTTTTTAAAGAAAATGGCACTATTTATTTTTCTTTAAATTAAATGCCTTTATTTTCTTAGGAGGACAACATTTCTGATACAGGGAGTGTCAAAAGGCAGACTAAAAAGACAAAAAAAGGATTGGGATCGTACATAAGGTGTGTCAGATCAAGTGATTGCATTTTGTAAGACAAAAATAATAAATGTTTTATTGGGGATACAATATTCTGGGTGCAGTTATCACAACAGGTGCACAGTATTAAGCCTCTGCAACTTTGATTGAGTTTCTGCTAGGCTATAGCCTATGTAAATGTGCAGAATTAAAGTACATACAACCAAAATCTGTGTTGTTTTATGTGCTACTGTGAAACTTTTTATTGTATTTAACACAAAAAACAGCTTTGGGGTAAATACACATTGCTTGATATTTAATCTATAAGTATGTAAAAGACAATATTTTTGATTCACTCAACTGAAGGATATTTCACATATTTAAAAGTGTATTTTGTACACAGTTACTTACTTCTAATTTGTCCTGTACTTCAGCCAAGTTTCCAAGCCGATTAATGCCACAGAGGATTACATCAAGGCTCACTCAAAAACCTTCAAATATGTTGTGCTGGCTATACTTGGAGCAGGTAATATTACAAGTCTGTTCAGTTGTGTTAAAATTTTACAATCAGTAGCAGTTTATTGTCCTGCACACTTTGACAAGACAATAATAATCACTTGAACATGGACAATTAATCAAACGCTGTTTTCTGTTCTGTAGGTTATGTGGCGTATTTCATTGCAGCCTGTGTATTGGATTTCAAGAGGGCCACTGGTCTTGTAGTCCTAACCAGTTTGGCTGTCGTTGCTAAATCCTATGAACTTTTGAAGGAATACAAGGGAGAAAGCATCAGTCGGTGTTCCAGACCGGCAGTTAGATGCTTTAAATCTCACTTGAAATGGATAAAATGGTGAGTGGATGTCTTTCATTCAGTTGCATTGTCCTCAGTATGATAACACACAATGGAGTCTGTTAATGAGTAAAGGTGTGTTTTATTGTGTTTTTAGGGTTTTCATTTTAGCGGCTTTGGCCTTGTTTGTGGTGTGGCTTGCCTTGGACACAAGCAAGCGTCCTGAGCAGCTTATCTCATTTGGAGGTGTGTGCATGTTCATCGTGCTTATATTCCTCTTGTCAGCACACAGGACAGCGGTGAGTTTTGCACTTTAACAACTGACTCATCTCCCATGATGAATATTGACAGTGGTTTTGAAACATGCTTGGTCATTATCTCACAAGTTATCTCTGGTCTGTTTTGCTGAGACTTTGCATATCATGTGGCCTTGTGCCCCTATCATCTTAAGGTTTAGCAGAAGTGCTTCCCTGCAATAACATACGCCTTTATGGAGACTCCCTGATAGTCTAACTATTTTCATTTTTAAACACACTTTTAGGTATCATGGAGACCTGTGTTTTGGGGTCTTGGGATGCAGTTCTGTATTGGCCTTTTTGTTATGAGAACAGAACCTGGACTCATAGCTTTCAAATGGCTCGGAGAACAAGTGCAGGTATTACACTTGGATGTTATAATAGATAGATGAATAATAAATAGCAGCAGTTAGGAATGTGTGTGACCTGAGTATATTGAATTATGTGATACACTGCGATGATATTTACACAAGCTTAGACATAACATTTAATACTTATTTGTTCATTATAAAATCAATTATTTTTTAAGAATCTTTATTGCAAATTGCTGTGAAATGTGTGATCCATCACTTTTAACCAATCATCCTGAAGCTCTTCATTTGCACAACAGACTTTAAATGGCACACAGTGTTTCTTATCTACCAGGGCACAATATTCTTTAACCGAGTGAATCATACATGCTTATCTTTAGAGCCACTTTATTATGCTGTTCACCTTCATCCAAGGGTTGAGTTATTGCAGAATGTGTGCACGTGCATTTTGTCTGTTAATAACTTTTTAATGTCAAGTATTATAAAGCTTTAGTTCAATGGCTTCCTGGTACAAATACATTTGTAAATGTCATACATTTATGGAATACAGAAACCAATAATCATTTAAAAATAATATAACATTGGTTATGCTTCCTCTTTGTCCTATAATTACAGATATTCCTGGACTATACCAAAGAAGGGTCAAGATTTGTTTTTGGGGATCTGATAGCAGACATTTTTGCCTTTCAAGTAAGTGGATGAATGGATGTATTTGTTCTTAAATGTGGGCACTTAACCAAGATTATAAGTTATTAAAATTGAATGTGTTTAACTTCAGTTTTGATTTCTTCCTCAGGCTTTGCCCATTGTTGTGTTTTTCAGCAGCGTGATGTCGATTCTTTACTTTTTGGGGATTATGCAGTGGCTCATTCTGAAGGTAGAGAAAGGTTAAAACTTGTACCTTACAACATCATAGGTTCCTGTAGGTCTGTATGTGTGTATTGCTTACTCCACTGCAGTGACAAGCTGCGACCAAGAGCCATGTGTTTTTGTCCATGCAGATCTCATGGGTTATGCAGATAACGATGGGAACCTCTCCCACAGAGACCTTGAGTGTGGCAGGCAATATATTTGTTGGACAGGTATGTCTGGGCAAGGCTTCATGTCTTTGCAACTCTTTCTTTTCTTTGACATTACTACTGGTTCTACATTATTAAATTTAATGAGCTACAGTACTTACATTTTTAAATACATAACCTCTAATACTAACTGCTGTAAAAAAAAAAAAAAAAAAGAACACTACACTTATTTACTTTTGCTCTATGTTTTCTGTGCATCAGACTGAGGCTCCGCTGCTGATTCGCCCGTATTTGAAAGACATGACCAAATCTGAGATCCATGCTGTTTTGACTGGTGGATTTGCCACAATTGCAGGCAGTGTCATGGGGGCATTCATCTCATTTGGGGTGAGATTAAGCTGTTTTCATACCACCACATAATCCATACAATGCTACTAAAACTAGATTGTTCTATCACACATGTCATATAAAAAGGTGCAATAGATTCTGCTTAACCCATTATTGACCAACAACTAGTAACAGTAGATATACAACATTTGCTGTGGCTACACATGACAAAATAAATTTGAATTTCACATATTTAGCAGGCTTTAATTGGTAGCCAAGGTTGTTTTTCTTTTAAAACAGAGAAAATCACAACAATGTATTTGACACATTAAATATCGGATTTACACCAGATCAAAGCGAAGCACAATATTGAAAATCGAAGTTGTTTTATATCCAGTGGTACCATATAACCCTTTAGTTTTTGACATTTTATCCCAAAGAAATACTAATAACTCTTGGGTCTGCACAATGGCAATACTGGACCAAGAAAAAGCAATTATGAGATTATAATTTTGCTGCATGTCAAAAATGATGAAAATCTGAAATCCTAGTATGTTCAAAAGGTGTTTTCCTTGAAAACACAAAACAAAAACCCAACTACTTGTGACCTAATAACTAAAAAAGATGAAACGTGCACTGTGGCCTTATACTTTGACCAATTAAAAACATGTCAGTAGATTTGTGCTTAGCTCTGCTGGTACTTTAAGTGCTGTAAAGGAAATTATTATAGAATTCCACTTTAGAAAAGAAAACACACTTAAAAAGACAAATAACAACAATAACAATCAATATTGTGGTTGTTAAAGTAGGTAAAAGCGGGTTTATGTTTTCTTTTAAAAGTTAGACAATGTAGGGAGACTGTTCCAGAGTCTGGGGCCAGGAGGGAGTGAGAGTATCAGTGCAAATCAGTGATTTGTTAGGAACATTAACTGTGAGGAGGTCAGTGACTTAATCTGGACTGAGGCAGTGTAATATTTGAAAATAATAAAAAGCACTTTAAAATCAATTCTATAGCAGGCAGCCAGTGGAGAGGTTTTAGTTTAAGGGTGATGTGATTTTATGTTGATGAAGAGACTGGCTGCAGTACTTTGAACCAGTTGTAGATGTTTGATACGGTTCTTAAGAAGGTGCAATACAGTTATCAAAACAAGTGTAAACACAAATGAGTGTTCACAGTTGTGAAAAAGCCAATTTAGTGTGCTTCAGGATTTTGATAGCTATCAAAGATGACACTCACATTCTTCTGAGTTTTGTAGCAATGGAAACAGATACCATGTTTGTCTGATAGCTGATGATTAACTAGATTTGATACTCTGATTTGATATTCTTGGCATCTAGATTGCTTTTCCTGACACTGTACCAACAGTTTTGAAGGTCACTGAATAACAGCTAGTCTCTAACTAGGGGTTAGTCACCTCTTCTGCTGACAAGCAGTCAAAAAACATCTTTATAAAGCTGCTAGACAAGAAAGATGCTGGTTTAGGTAGGTATGACTCTAACATTAATGTTGTGTTTTAACTGTAATTTTGAATAATGTTATTTTATCTCAGAAAAAAGCTGCACATACATGATAACTGTATGTTACGGCCACAAAATAAACATGTTGGCCTAACCAATTGTTACCAGCAACATATAAAAAAAACACTGTAACCTGATAATTAGTTTTAAAGCAAAATGATTTTATTTAGTAAAACTGCAATATTCATTTGGTGATGGTTTTGTTTAGTTAATTGTATTGTTTAAACAATAAGAAATTCTTAAAATCATGCACAATATTACATACTGTATCTGTTGCTGATTATTGCAGTAACTCCACCACAGTGCCTTGAATTAAATGGCATCTCATTGTATTTTGCAGATTGATCCATCTTCCTTGATATCAGCCTCTGTGATGGCTGCACCTTGTGCCTTGGCCATCTCCAAACTCTCTTACCCAGAGACAGAGGAGAGTCCCTTCAAGTCAGAGAAGAATGTTAAAGTGTCTTGTGGGTATGTATATCTGTCCCTTCATTTATTATCTTCCCTTTCATGATTTTTCAACTTTTTTTTCAATGAAAATACTTTTTTAACTCCCTAGAGATGAACAGAACATTCTGGAGGCTGCTAGCAGTGGAGCATCTGCTTCAATAGGTCTTGTTGCTAACATCGCAGCAAATTTGATAGCCTTTCTTGCCATCCTCGGGTTCATAAATAACGCTTTGAGTTGGCTTGGAAGTATGGTGGGATATCCTGAAATCACATTTCAGGTAAATTTGAACAAAAGACTGATAGCTTAAATGTGACCTTTGAGAATTAGCATTTTTGTTTTATTGTATTCATTTTGCACAAACGTAAGATTAAAGAGGGTTATCCAAACATGGTGGTCAAATAATAAAAAAGCTAATAAAATGACAATCCCTGTCAAAAAAATAAAATAAAAATAAAAATAATAGATCTATAATAAACATTTACATAAATAATATTTATTTTGTTTTAATTATGTATTTTGTTATGATAGTTCAAAATTTAACTAATTATTCAGACATGCATCTATTTATTAATGCACGCATTTCACAGATTTTGCTTGCTTGTACTGTAAATTTAGTGAGTCTAACAGTATCCAAATAAGCCTGTCTCTCTGTGTTCATAGCTGATTTGCTCTTACGTGTTCATGCCTGTGGCCTTTATGATGGGAGTACCATATGACGAAAGTTTCATTGTGGCTAAACTAATTGGCACAAAGCTCTTCCTCAACGAGTTTGTGGCTTATGAGAAATTATCTGAACTGAAGGAAAACAGACTCAGTGGAATTGAAGAATCAATATCTGTGAGTAAACTGGAGTTTGAATATTGTCACTGTGGGTGTGCTGCAAGCATGAATTTGGGAGTATTTTGTGAGCACTGCACAGTAAATGAAATTAAAGGGAAACAATTTTACATGACTTGTTTTTTTCTGTTTCAGATCCGATCAGAAATAATCACCACTTATGCACTTTGTGGGTTTGCCAACTTCAGCTCACTGGGTATTGTGATTGGAGGCCTTTGTGAGTATTTTATCATCCCATAGCCATGTTTAGTTCTGCCCCAGGATTCTCTCTCACCAATGACATCTGACACAGAGTATTATATTTTCTTTTTCTCAAAGCCTCTATATGCCCATCCAGAAGAGGTGATATCTCATCTCTGGTACTGAGAGCTATGCTCACTGGGACATGTGTATCTCTAGTCAACGCTTGCATTGCAGGTAAGAGCTTTTGAATTAAACTGGAAGAGCACTTTAGCTTGTTTCCTGTTGTACTGTACCTGAGTTGCTTTTTCACTTTTATTTCTCAGGGATTCTCTATGTTCCTCTACCTAACTGTGTGGAGCTGTTCAAGGCATCTGCCTTCAATGCCACAGATGAAAATATACAATATTGCTGTGAAGACCTCTTTAAAAAGTAAGCATGCACATTTGAATTATAAAGATATTTTTTGGTGGGTGGCTTAAAATGTTAGGGAAAACATCAGTGACTCACAGTGTTATTTGATTCTTGAATTGACCTACTACTCTGTTCACTTAGGCAGTATCTGATATGGGGTTTTTGGACTTACATCTCAAATTGATTCTTTTGCAGCACTGTAAACAATGGCACCATCTCATTTGAAGGACTGTGGAGCACAGTAGCAAATGCCACTGTGTTTTTCTCTAAATGCTGTCAGTGTTGTGATCTCTCTGCTTTGGACGTTTGTAAGTAGAGGAGAAACATACATGCTGCAGTTTTCTGTTTTTATGCTGTACTTACAGTAATTTGTCTTGTTTTTACATTTTTGTCATAGCTCATGTAAAAATGTAAAGTCTATATACATACTATGTTTTAAAGATGAATGTAACTTTCATGTATTATATTGTAAATTAATTCAGATATTGGTTTGTATTTAAATCCAAGGATTAAAAGGAAACAGCTTCAGAAAAATACCTCAGGAAATATTCAGGCAGTTTCATGAATGTCAATATTTAAAATTAAATTGAGTAACTCAGTCATTTCATAATGTTATTGATAATTATACACACATACTGTCATACTTTATGAAAAAATAAAAACCTATGAAAATGTGAACTATGCTTGGACACAAATGTTTTATATATTTATTTTTTAAAAATTAGCTGACATAATGTGACATAACAACAACAGCACACATTGTTAACACACATTTATTCTTCTTTCCTAATAAGTCATTCATTTACTCACTCGCACACTCACCCACGCATTTTACATTTTTCTTCACGTGACTTTAGATATTTAGTCCTTTGACTTTATGTACACATAAATACAAGCATTTGTTTGTCATCTGCTGATCAATATTTCAACCTCATCTTTTTTATAGAATTAGGGTTTTCTGTGTTAAACAATCATGCAATTAACTAACGGCATCTGAAGTATTTGGACTCATTTGAAGACTCTTACTGATCATTAACCAATAATACATTTCAGAATTTCCGAGAGACTTCTTGTCAGTTCTGTATTATTTGTAAAAGGTAAGTGACTCCAGTTAAAATTTAACCATGAATACCTGTGCACACTCATGAGATAACAGATAGTTTTCATTCTTACTCTTAAGTCCATGCTGGCTTTGCAACCTAAAAAAAAGAAAAGAACAAATAATAATAGAACAAAAAGAAAAGACAATGCTTAAGATTTGTATGGTTTCCTTCTGACCAACTGCACACGAGCAAAACTCACCACTTTCTTTTTCAGCAAAAGGTGACTTGCCATAAAACTTCAGAGTTCATGCAAGGAGCCTTTCTCAGTGATCAATAGGCTTCTGAAAGTTCTGAGTCTGCTCTTTTGTTTATTTTGTTCAGTGTGTTTTGTTCACAGTACATAGGTCAGGTAAAAATAACTATCTGGAACTCAATTAGCAGCTTTCCTTTCCACTCATGTGTTTGCATGTCAATGGGTGTGAGCATACCATAGTTAAAGAGTTTACTGGTAAACCCCTTAGTGCTCATTGCTTTGACAATATCATTCAACAGCATATATTCTAAAATACTGTAAGAGGACTGATTAAAGACACAGACACAACAGATACAAAGAGCTCAAAAACAACTCAAAAGTAATGCCAAAAACAAAGTGCACACAAACATCTTTGACCTAAAGCAGTGAGCAGTTCAAATGCCAACCATAAATAACATCTCCAAAATAAACTTTATGTCCTACACACATACTGTACAACACAGATGAACATGCAGCATCTACTATGGATACATTACCTCAACCCCCTGTGTGGCTGTGGGTTTATTCTCCATAATGCGTTAAATCAAACCACTAAAATGTCGACATTTTTTAAAAGAAAAGAGCAAAACTGTATGGTTCAGTGATGATGAATTTGAGTTGAAAAATATTGCTTGCAGAGTTGTTTGTCCACTCATAGAGCTGATAAGACTCTGAGGTAAGTGTTTCAAACCATTTAATAGTGGTATGTCACCTGTAATGTGGCCCAGTTTTGCTTTTCATACTGTTAAAGTAAAAAACACAGATTTTGTTGTTTGGTTTCAATGAGATATAAGGTCAAAACCCCTGTGCCCATTGCTCCAAATAGTCTCATAAACCTTTTAACTACAGGAAATAGCTGGAGGATTGATGGTACTGTAACTGTAATGGCAGTTCACAATACAAGACAGGTCAACACACTATTCATTTTCTTATAGTCTTACTCTTCAAGTCCTTGCTGGCTTTGGTAACTGGAAAGAAACAGGTAATACTAAACCATTAAAAGTAATAAAATCTTGCTTGACACAAAAAAGCTTCTTTTCCTACCTCATTTCAAGAACTTCAACAATTTCTGCAGGCTTGGGTTTGGCACCTGATTTATTGTCCTCTGTCTCCTGAACTTTTCTAGTTACCTTTGGGCTAGAATTTGCCTTTCTTAACATCTGAGGGCTTTGTCCTTTCCGCTGCAGCTTTGGGCTGTTAGAGCCCAACTTGCGGTTAAGCAGGGGGCTCCTAGAGCCCTTCATCTTGGTAGGCTGCAGACTATCCATAGTCTTAAGTGGTTGCAGGCCAAGAAGTCCACAGTAGTAGTTGCACTGATGGTGTGTCAGGAACTGTTCAAATACTTCAGGAGAACCACGCTCTGTTAGTCCTTGGTATCTAAAAAACAAGGGACAACTTTTTATACCAACTATTCTAATAGAAAACAAACAATAACAGTTGCATGTATTGATATAGATACAAACCCTTTTGACTTGGTCACAACTTGAACATTTGTAATCTTCATTTCAACACCTGCAAAAATAGATCACAGAAGATTAGTAATATGATCAATACCACAAATACATAAATTACTGCTTTAGGGTGTCTTACCCTCCAGCCGAGTGACCAGCAAATTGCCGTGCGTCCACTGATGGATCCAGTGCTGGAAGGTGCTGCATTTCTGCTCCACCTCAGTACCGGTTCGTGTAATTAGCCTGCCTTTAGGATCCATCATACAATACTTGAGAAAGACACCCTTAATATCAGCCTCCACTGTGGCATATGGCACAGAGTTTGCAGGCCGGTACATCAGATACTGAGGAGTCACTCTGTGGGCAACAAAAAAAAGAGTTTATGGCAAGCAGTGTTGTACATTTTAATAGGAATCAATTATCAGATCTACTGTGTAATAAGTGTGGCACTTACTCTAGTGAAAAGCCAAAGTTCTCATTAGCTCTTGCTTCAGCAGCAAAGATTTTACAGTATTCTCGAATCATGTTTTGGACTTTGCATTCCTGGCAACACAAAGAATTTAATTGAGCAGATTAGTGTACTGCAGTTAATCCCTGGGGATTTATTGGTAGCAAATGACCAAATAGCAGACAATAAATCCACTACTTACTTTCTTAGTAATCTCTAGATTCCTTTCTGCAAGGTTCATCTCCTGTTTGGTCCCGTAAGCAATGGGGTTTTGAATTTTGATGATGCAGGCGCTTCCAGACTCAAAGACAGGATCCAGTCCATAAATGACCTTCACTCTGCTGGCTTTGTGAGCACAGCCCTCCCCTATGTTCGCCATCTCGGTCATGATGCGGCCAAAGTACCTGTCACCCCAGGTGCCACAGTTGGCCAGGCCTTTGGTGAACAGCAGTGGGGTCATCTCGATCTCCTCTCCAACTCCAAGAAAAAAAAACAACCCGATATTTACAATGAGCAGTAATTTACAGACAATATATTAAAAAATATGATAGCTGACTGAAATATTTACCTTCCAAATCATCTCTTAATAATATCTCAGACAGAACTGTAAAATAGAAAGACACACTCATAAAAACACAACTGATAATATAAGATTCAAATTTCACACTTTTTCTTTCTCCAAGGCATACTGTATCTTACTGTCTACGCTGAGCAGGAAGTCAGTGGTGTCAGTCCCATATTCATTATTGATCGAACAGCCATATACCCCACAGTCTTGGCTGGATGCTAGGACAATAGCCAGAGCTACTTGGCTTTCATCTCCTCCGCTTGAGGACAAGGAAGGGGGAAAACACATAATCATGAATATGTCAAGTTGATTGATTGGAGTTATACCTAACTTCAAAGATTCAACAAGATTCAACAACAACCCACAAGGTGTCACTGTGAGGCAGAAGGTCATGCTGTGTGGCAGTCTGCTGACACAGCAGTCAATAGCACATATATAGACTTTTAATGCCCCCTGGAGATGGGAAAAATATTGTGTCAGGTTACAGTTTCTGTGTCTAGCCAGAGATTCACCTCTCTGTGTCACAGCTGTGGGGTTCACAGTCACATGAGCGCAACGTCTCTGCAGTGAGAACATGAGAATGACACAAGGCCATGGGATGCACTCTGAGGCCCCAAAAAATCTTGTCCATCCTTGTAGCATTATTGTTTCATATTTGGAACCTGTCAATTTTATGCTCGGTGGAAATCCTCAAAATAATAGCAGTGAAAAAGGTGACAAGTAATAATGTTAATACAAACTGAACACCAGGTGATTTTGCTGTTGATTTGTGTTAGAGGTGGTTAGAGTAGTGTTTGTGACATTGTAAGACAGGAAGGGGATTTACCTTCTCTTCACCTCTAGTATTTCCTCCTCATCTCTGAACCACTTAATGGTGGAGTCACTAAGCACGTTGAAGAACTGGCACCAGAGCTTCAGGTGTCCGGAGGCATCCGGGAATGGCTCTCCCCTGATTTTGCGGATGACCTGTGGAGCTGGTAGTACATGAGAGACAGAGGGGGTGCCCGACACGGGGCCAAAGTAAATATATACTGTACTGGAGAGTGGAGACTTTCTAATGTTTCAACTTCCTCGAGCACCGGTGTACTGATTCGACTCCTGCTGACAAACTGCAAAGTATTTCACAGAACCACTATTGTGATATTGTGATATTTAAACAAACACATTGATACAGCCTTAATGGGAAACATGCAACTTGTTCCCACAACATAATATCTTTACAAGATAAAAAAAAATCCTGAGGGAATGAATGATTG